CTCTGCCTGTGGCTCATATACATATCTCCAGTGTGTGCTTCCTTATCCCTCTGGCTTTCCCCTTTCTCCATTGTAATTCTGGTCCCTGCTGCTGGAGTTCTCCTGTGCAGCTCTGGTATCTGCTTACAGGAGTGATTTTTACCCCTCCGGCAGCTGCTTAATCCAAACAGGCCGTGTTCCCGAGCTTCCCAAGTGTTTGTGGCAGGCAGGAACAGCTGGAAGAGTTGCTCCCTGTCAGCCCCTCTGACAGCTCACGTTGTCAGCCCAGGAGGGCTGCGGTGTACAGGGAGAACGGGCTCCTTTGCAACTGCAAATTCAGGAGGAATTTGGGTGGACGAGCCTTCTGCAGGCTTATTCATTTATTCTAGAGACCCTCTGGTGACAGCTCTCCATGTGGCTGCAGTCTGCCCTGTGCCCTCAGGGTGACACAGGAGCCGAGCTGCAGGGACATCTCCGCCATGGCAGAGGACACCAGGCAGTGTTTACTGAGCGTTTTCCAGGAGGAATCTGGAGCAGGAGGACTCCCCGGGACAGTTCTAGGAAATGCCTTGCTCCCAAATAAACATGTTGATTTTCTCAATGCAGTCGGTTTGCCGGTGCCATCTGTTGGCTCCCATTCCATGGAGGAGACCCGTGCTGATTTGCAGGAATGCCACTGCCATAATTACACTTTTACAGTGAGCACTGATCACACTGAGCACATGGGCTCCTTTTGGAAGAAGTGGAGGTTCCTGATTTTCACTCAGGCCACTGCAGAAACAAGTGAATTAAAAAGGAAAAGGTGATTTCTTTATGGAACAATCACTCGTGCAAGAAATTTTATTTGTCATTGGATTATAATTGGATCCAAGCAGATGCGTGGCATGAAGGAGCAGATTTTAGCCCAGGCCAGGGTCTCTGGCTTGTTCCTTTGTTCACAGCACAGGAATAAAAGGAAGCAGTGTCCCATGGCCCCTTTCCACTGAAAACAGACCGTGCTTCCACCTCTTTCTCTCCCAGAGCCTTTGCAAGCGGCTGGAGCAGTGCAGGGCACAGTGGCTGTCCTCTCCCTGCCCATCCGCCTGGGCACCCAGCAGTTCCCTTCCTCTTGGCAGGGCACTGTGGATTCAAGGAAGTCTGTCTGGATTGTTATCCACACTCAGCTGAGAAACAAGATGTCCATATAAATTTTAACTCCTGCTAGCTGATACTCTCTCCTATTCCAAACCCTGTGCTTTGCTTCAGATCCCCTCACCTTGGCATATTTAGCTCTGCTTGCTGCCAGATTTGAAAATCTGGTATCTCAGAGCAAAATAGGAATTTATAATGCTGTTTGTGTTACAGTTTGAGAACTTCAGGAGAAACCTGTGATTTGAGAGGAGGAGTTGTCAAGGCTTTGTGTGCTGGGCTGAGGGAAGTGGCTGGTGCCCAGGGCAGAGGGGCAGCCTGGGCTCCTCCCCAGGAGCTCACATCTCTGAGCATTCCGGGGTGACTGAAGGCACCTTGGCCTGACACGTGCCTTCCATCCCTCCTGACTTCCCACGGGATGCAGAGGGGTGTGCTGCTACCAGGGATTTCTGGGTGCTCCCCTCGGCCTTCCAGAGTTCCGTACCCCTCCTTCCATTCCCCAGCTGCCCCTTCTGCTTCCGTGTGGTTGGAATTTCCACTCCTCCCCACAAGGCTTTTGCCTAGCGTGCACATACACTCAGCACAGCTTTAGGATCACAGGAATTACAGAGCAGTGTTCAGCTGAGGTGCAGCAGAAGAAAAATCCGGAAAAACAAGGAAGGAGCCACCTGCAACCTGCAGCTGTCACTTTGAACGCCTTACCCGCTCTCCACCAATTGTTTTTAACAACTTGTCATTTCTCCCAAGTAACAATTCCTTCCCCAAATTACTAGTGCAAGTTTTACTTGGATGCAAGAAGGAATAAATGAACTGTTTACAAGTGGCGGGAACATTTTGTTAATTGGTAGCAGCATGCATGCTCCAGGCTTGGCATTTATCCTCCTGCCTGTAAGCTTCATTAACTTCTGATAAAAGAATAGTTAATTTCTCAGACTCCTTTTTTAGAGTATTTCATTGTTGGAGAATTTAGATCATGGTTTTCTTCCACTTCTGCTTGTGCCTGAATTTCTGCTTTACTTAATGAAGTTTAGTCTTCCTCTCTATTTTATGTGATGTTTGTAAGCATGAGGGAATGCAATTGATTTTGGGGTTTATTTTAATTGAAACTGATTATTTTTGCACAAATAATTTTATATATATATATATACACACACACACACATATATATATATTTGGAGGCAGGGCAGTTACCGCCCTGACAGGGATTTTATCATAAAATATGAAGGTTAGCATTCATGTGCTTTAGATTTTTCCCTTAAAGATCCTTTTGTTTGGTTGTTTTTTTCCAATTTATAGTCTATGATAAATAAATAATAAATAAAATAAAGGGCTGAATTCATTGTGGCCATCCCTTGAGCTTTAGATGGAGTCGGTGTGGCTGGTGCGACACAAGGACCTCAGCCAGGCCCTTTTCTGTTGAAATCCCAAGTCATCTTTTGAGGGAAAATACTAGCCAGCTAGGAAATTCAGGAATGGAGAAACCAACCTGATCTGTTCTGGAAAACCTTTAAACCAGTCCTTCCCTCTGGAAAAGTAGTGATTCTCCAAAAGAGCCCAAAGAGCAGAGCTCTGGAACAGAGCAACTGCAGAGCCCGGGGTGGAAGATCAGCCCCATCCCTGACATTCCCTGCATGTCCCTGCTGCCCAGGCAGGGGAGATTTCCTACTTCCACCCTCGTGGGGTCCTGAGGAAGCTCTGCATTTCCTGAAACCGGAGCACGAGGTGGTTTCCCCAGGATTTTTCAGGAGATTTTTGCCTTTCATGTTGCATCAGTTGCTGGAGGCATTTGTGTGGAATGAACACATTCGGAAGAAACCCCCTTCAGGTCTCTCCTCTGTGTAACTGCTGGGGGTGGGTTTGGGGCTGGGGCTGCTTGGCTGAGCTCGGGATGAGGTCCTTCTCAAGGAGAACATCTCCTGGGTGCTGTTGGTGTGGCTTTGCTCCCCATCCAGGTATTGTGTGTCTTGTGGGTGTGGAGTTTCGCTCTGCGCGTGTAAATCCCGCAGCGTCACAGGGAGACAGGGGAGCTGGCAGCCTGGTCCTTCCTGCCCCCGGTTATCAGGGAAAACCAGAGGAATTCAGTTCTGTTGTGTCTGGCCCTACTGACCAAGCTGGGTGCAATCAGATGCTCTACATACCTTGAACTCGGCTGAGAGTGTCAGCTCGAGCCATATAATTAAGCTGGGAAATGAGAGTTCCTTAGAGCAAATATAGAGCTGAGAATGAGTAAGGAGCTTAGGAATACTCCAGATCTGTGGATTTTCATTTACGTCTCTGGGCCTGAAAATGACTCATGTCTCTGGGTAGACATCTTGGCTTTGCTCTCAGAGGAAGCGTCTCTTAGCTTTTATGTGTATTTATGCTCAAGCTTTACAAAAGCCCGTTCTTGCAGGAAAACCTTGGGCGAAAAGCATGTGGAGAGCGCTTCCCAATCCCCCTCTGGCTCTCTCAGCTTTCCCAGCCCTCTGCTGAGCGCTGTGCTCGGCTCCCTGCGGCGTGGATCCCGCGCTGGGCCGGTCCCGGGGCTCTGCACCCCGTTAATCACGGCCCCGGTGCCTGGCAGCCCCGGCTGCCGTTTCACCTCCTCGTGCCTCGGCTCCAGCCCCGCTGCTGCCAGCAGCTCCCAGCGCCGAGTGCCAGACCTGGCTGCCGTTCAGCTCCCGCTCCTGCTGTAGGAAGCGTGCTCGGTGACTTGGAAGGCTGGAAGCGTTCCTGCGCTCTGAATTAAAGGTTTCAAATGAAAGAAACAGCTTATTGTACTTGGGTGCCTTTTCGGGATTCTGCTGGGTTCTGCTCACATGCAGGGCGGTTATTGCTCTGGCAGGGATTTGGTCATAAAATATGGGGCTTAATTTTCATGTGCTTCAGATTGTTCCCTTAAAGAAAGATTCCCTTGAAGGATCTGAAGCTGCTTTTGTTTGGTTGTGTGTGTGCCTGTGAGAGCATCCCTTAGCCCTGCCCATGGGGCTGGCACTGGGAGAGGGACGTGTTTGGGTCGTGTGCCCCTGTGGGTTTGTGCCCGTGGTCGTGGCACGCTGCTGTGCACAGAGCACTTGTCCTTGTCCCCACTGAGCTCTGGGGTCTGGGACAAGCCAAGCATTTCTGTGTCAGATCTTTCTGGCCGCGCATCCTCAGCGGTTTTTGTGGCAGTGCTGCTTTGCATGCCCTTCCCCAGGCCTTTGCATGATCCTGCAGCCTTCTTGGGCAGGACTTGTGTAAATGAGGCTCCCCAGTAAAGCAAGCAGGAGATTTGTAGAAGCAGTTCTTTTCCCAGGGAGAACCTGCTGGGGGATGGTAGCTCATCCCACAAATCCTGAGGCTGGAGCTATTCACTCACGGGGTGTTTCATGGTGGGGAGGAAGATACTAAAGGCTGAAATTTGATTTAGAAGCAGCAGGGCAGATGTTCCTCTGCCAGGCAGAGTAGTTTTTTCTCTCAGCTGTTTCCTCCATCAAGATTTCACTCTGCCTTTTCTCTCCTGTTCATCTCAGTGTTCCAGAAAAGATTCCCATCCTTGTTGTCTGTGTGTGGATGAAACAGGGTGCCCAATGGGCTTGAGGATAGGTGATTCTTAGTACAGCAGTGTCTCCACATTTGGAGTCTGGTGGTTCTGCAGTCCATGCCCAAAGGAGCTGGGAGCACCAGGGAGGTGGAGGGAAAATCTTGGAGACTGGAGAGCAGCTGACTGGAAGCACTTAGACTTGTTTAAACTCCATTAGTGTAGCGTTACAGAGCACTTCTGGTTTAAAACAGATAAATAAACACCTCAGTTGTTAGAAGCCTGACACTACCCCTCATTCCCATCCCTGCTGGGGTTTATCAGCCCTGGTGCAGGGAGCTGCTGTGTGGGTAATGCAGCTGGGTCAGTAACTTCTCTGTTTCCCCTCTGCCAGGTTGCAATAAAGATCATTGATAAGACTCAGCTGGATGAAGAGAACTTGAAGAAGATATTTAGAGAAGTCCAGATCATGAAGATGCTTTGCCACCCACATATCATCAGGTTGTACCAGGTAGGAGCATTCTGCCGTGGAGTTCCCATCCCTTGACTCCACACTGTGCAGTAGCACTTCCTCCAGAGCTGTCCCTCCATTCCTGCCACATGGAACTAGGAAAGCCCTTTATGTTTACTGGGTCTCAAAGTGCTTTGGTTGCAGGGGCAGGGGGAAAGTGTAGCTAATCCTTCTCTTTTCTGGGACATGCTTCCGCTGTGGGCTGGCCTCCTGCCACTTGTTTATGGCCATTGTGTGCTTCTCAGTTTCCCAGTTGAAACCGGATGCAGGTTCCCCTTCTCATTTGAAGGGAGGGAGTAAATCTCACCCGGGAGCAGGACTGAGCTCTCCTCTCCCTGCCCAGCTCCCTCTGGCCCCCAGGCCCTCAGCCTTTTCCTGGAAGGGGATCAATACTGCCAGCAGACCTGCTTTGAATATTGTTTACAGACTTTTTTTTCCAGCTTGTTTGATGTTTTTTTGTCTGCAAACAAAACCCCTGGAGGCAGAAGCCACATGGTCTGCCCTTTACACAGGTAGATGGTTGTGACTCTCTGTGAGGAGGGTGCAGCAGAGTGATGGGAGCAGAGGAATAAAGGACTCTGTTTCTGATCTGTTCTTGAGAGATATGAACATTTATTTGGACTCCAAAGAGTTAAAACTGAGTAGCAGTGATGGAGGTTAATGTTTAGCTCCTTTGGCCAAACCATGTGTGAGATGCTTATGGGGACTGTGGCACTTTCAAGGTACCCAGGGAGTGCTTCTTTGCAAACTTACTCCTTAAACCTTTTTTCTGAGCCAAAAAACCTTTTCAAACCTGTTCCATTCCATCTAAAGCGTTTGGTGTGATGCTGAAGAGGTGACACTTGGGGCTTGGCTTTGTTTAGGGTGGGAGAAGAGCAGGGCAGCAGCCCTGAGAAGTCTCCCAGGCTGCTGGAACACAAGACCTCCGAGCAAATGCTAATGGGAGGGGCAACAGACCAGGAGGAGGAAAGTGCAGGTGAAGTGTAATGTGTGGTTACAGATTTAGTGTTTGAAACTCGCTGTTTCATCCTTACTGTCCCCAGTTCCTGTCCATCCCTGCACATGGCTCTGGGAAGCACGGGCAGGTTATAGGTTGGATTTGATGAAAGCAGTTCTGTGTGTTACAGAAGGAATAAAGGTGGGTTTAGAGCTATTTCTCGTTGCACTCTGCAGTCTCCTTATGTGTCACTTCTCTGTCCTTGTGTGCAGGTTATGGAGACGGAGCGGATGATTTATCTGGTGACTGAGTATGCCAGTGGAGGGGAAATATTTGGTAAGTACATTTATTGCATTCTTTAATCAGATAATGCACTTGGTCAACTACAGCAAACTGAAAATAGCCACCACACTCTCTTGTTTCAGCCGAGAGGTGCCCTTCAGCCTGCAAACTTTCCATTGACAAGAGGAGTAAAGGAATAAATGAGACCAACTCAATGGAAAAATAGCCCCCATAACCCCTGTTTCTTCTTTGGGTTTCATTGACAGGTGGTGCTGCTCCTCTTTCGTGCTCACTTTGGGATTAAAGATGTTGGAAATAGTCATGCAGTTGGATTTTAGTGTTGCTGAGTGCTTTGCTTCCCAGCAAGTTATATGAACCTTGTTGATGATAGTGGAACTCTTGGGATGTGTCAGCAGCTTTCAAAGAAACAGGCAGTCCTGCAGTTCTGGAGGGTTTTGTGCTCAAAACCATGTATTGTCTTTTCTTTTTGATATCTGATGTTATCTTAGCAAGCATTGGTTGCATTCCTTCCAAGCACCATTGTCCCAGAGAGTTTTGGCTGAGTGTTCTTGACCACAAGAGCTGTTCTTGAAAGGGAAAGAAGTATCTGTGCAGCACAACTGAAAGAACCATGGGCTGATTTATTCATTTGTCTGGTGAACAATAGCAAAACTTATAGAAACAGGAATTTACTTATACACTGGGATTTTGTGCTGAGTGACAGAGCTTGAATTTTGCAACATTGGTCTGTACTGGCTTTGCCAATATGAGCCTCCAAAAAGGGGGAAAATCCTGTGTGCTTGAATTAGCTTCAGTTAAGGAAGTGAGGACAGTCACACATGGTCTGTCAGCTCCTAGGAACACTCCCCCTGTCCTCATCAGCCATGCAGAAGATTCACTTTTGATTTTACTTCTCATTTCTGTGGAGGAGAAGCTGAGTTGTAGTAAAAGACGAAGCTTTTGGTGAAGCAAGAGAAGCCCCAGATTAAGGAAAATAAAAGCTGAAAAGTGCTGGTTTCCAGCCACTACAAACTGCCACCAGTTCCTCAGTACCTCTGTAGATGGTTGCCATGGCTTCTTGTCAATATTGTCCATGTCCTTTGGGTTTCTCCCTCAGAAGGTGACAGCCGAAGGGGAAGCAAGTGACAGCTGATGTTTGGGAAGTGTGGATTGCCTGGTGAAAAACTGACTTGCTGAGCCTTCCAGTTGTTTATTCAAATGTGAATCACGGTGCTGGACACACTCAGCAGTTCCAAAGGCTTGTGAAATTCACCTTCCCATGCACAGCAAAATCACCTGCACGTGTCCTGGAGTTGGCTTGGATGTGTATCACCACAGAAAAGTATAAATTTCTTTTTACTTTTTCTCCCTCTTCTGTTGAATTTGGCAGGGATGGGCTCATCTTTTTTTAAATCCAGAGCTATGTGCAAGCTCACATACAAACTTGGAATGAATTCTCTGGTTACAAAAATAGCCTTCTGCGTGAGTCGAAGTGAAAACCTAATTGCTTTCTGAAAGATTTTCTGCTGTAGTAAATTCAGCTCATTAGCATGGCTAATTTCCATGTTGCTGCCCAGCATTTTATCCTCTCTGATAGCTGGGAGCAGCCAGCTCTGTAATAGTGTGAGGCTTCTGCAGACCCAAGCCAGGAGGTCATGCCTCTCTACCCAGTTTTGAGAATTTTGGGGCACTGCCCTCAGTGCGAGAGCAGAGAGGGGAAAACTCAAGTCTCAGCTTTTTGTATTCAGAGTTTCCTGAGGAGCCATTAAGACTTTGTTCTAGCAGCGGAAGCAATTTGCAGGGAGGAAACAGGAGCCCATTCTGGGGAGGTTTCCTTGCAGTCCTTGCATCTCCAGCACTGAAGGGTCTCCCGTCCGTGTGTGGTGGGGACGAAGTCGATGGCAGCGTGGGCAGTCAGGCTCTCCCCTTGGGTAGAACGTCACCTGCACGGTGCCTCCTCCCAGTGCTGTCCCTCCTGGGGCAGCTGGGCGTGTTGGGAAGGGCTGGATGTGCTGCAGGGATGGCGTGTGAGCCCTGCAGCCGCTGGGAAGGGCTGGATGTGCTGCAGGGATGGCGTGTGAGGTGTGGGGGCCCTGCAGCCGCTGGCACCGTGCCTCTCGCTGGGCACTGGGGGTTCTCTGTGAAATGGGCCTGTGCTGAGTCTCTTCAATCTTTTTTTTTTGGTCATGTCTTAACACCTGCATGACAAATGCAGGCTTCAAAATGTACTGCTGGAGGGTAAAGGGGGCTGACAGCTGTGGTTTTCTGGATTCCAAATGCCATGGGGCATTTGAGTGCAGCCCCACAGAACCAGAGTTGCAGCATTGTGCCGTTGTGAGCCGCAGGTTTTTGTGAGGAGCACAGATTGCTCCTCTGGTGCTTTCAGACCTTCCCAAGGCTTAACCAGTACCAAAGAGCTGTCAGTGTTTCCCAGGCAGTGCTGGAGGCCAGTTTTTCGGCTGCAGGAGCCGTGGTTCCTTGCATGGCCACGGTCAGGCCGGGCTGCTGTGTCTGGCCTGGCCCTGCCCGTGCGAACCCCGCAGGGATCCCGGCTCAGCACCTGGGAGGGCTGCACCAGCCCTGGGTCCAGAGTTCCAGGAAAGGGCTGAGCGGTGGCCAGGCTGTGCCCTGAGAGTCTTTGATTCATCTCTTACTGGAAAGGGTTTGATAATTCACTTTGTTTGCATAGCGGCGCGCAGGGACCAGGGACAGGCCTTGGGTTTGCTGTGGGTTTGAGCAGCCAAATGTAAATTGTTATTTTTGTCCTTGTCCGTGTTTTGCGTGTGGTTGGGTCGCTGGTTTGACATTATGAAGAAATGAATGTTGCCTTTTAAACATAGGGTGGTCTCTACTCCAGGTCCCTCGAGTGTCCTTCTTTTGAGGTCAGATAGAATATAGTCTAAAAATCTGGTTTGCTTTCAGCTGTTCACTATGAAAACTGTAAATAATCTCCAGTCCTCACTGGTGGAATATGAGTTCTTGGTTGATTATCAAAAAAAAATCACAGGAAATTTAGAAAATTATCATCTGGTTGATGTGGTTACCACGTCTGCCCTGTCTCCCCACCGCCCGCCCGCTTGTCCTGAGCACTGTGAGCCTGAACTGCGCAGACACATTAAACAATGTTGTGGTGCCTGTCTCCAGAAGGTCAGACTGCTTCTGACATCACAAGGTCACCAAATTCACTGGAAATGTGACTTAATCCCCCACACAGAGGAGATGTGAAGCTTCATCAGCGTTTGTTTTCCAGTCAGAAAACAGCTTAAAAGCACAAGGCGTCTGTCCAGAGGCAGGGAGTGGAAACTTGTGTGTCAGTGCTCTCTGAACCAAAGGTGATTTTTCCCCAGTGTAGGACTGGATTGTTTTTTAACTCAGAGAGCAGCGTCAGGTGCTTCATGTAAGTACAGGGAGCAGTGACTGATCTCAGGAGGGGCTGTGCAATGAAATGATGCATTCCTTCCCCTCTGGAAGGCACCCAGAGGAGCATCACTGCGCAGAGCAGCATGGTGACACCAGCACAGCCCAGCCAGGCCCTGGGTGCTCTGGCATGCTCAGAGCAGGGTGCCGGCTCCCAGCTCAGCACTCAGGTCAGCTCTGCAACCTCCACTGCATGGGAGGTTTGTGCAGACTAAGCTCTCAATGGTTAATTTTGGCATGCAGTTGCCCTTGGTGGTATGTGAAGTATTCTGTAGCCTCATTGTTTGTGTCCTTCCTCTGGAGCTGGTGCAGAAATGTCAGTGGGCTCGGAGCGCGGTGCCTACGTGCAGAGCCTGGGCCTCTGCTCCCAGTTCTTCATCAAAACTGAAATTTCACACCCAACCGAAAAAGAGCTGTTTGCAGCCTAAGCAGAACTGGCTGGGCAGAGGGGCAGCAGAGTGTTCTGGGTGAGGGGCACGGGGCAGGGGGTGCCCCAAGTGCCAGCACTGAACGCAGGTGTCACCGGCTGTACCAGGACTGGTGAACTTGGTGTGGGCAGAAATACACTTAGGAAAGCCTTGCAGAAAAACACCTGCTGCAGTAGCTGGGTTTGCTTTCTTGCCTGCAGGAGAATTGCTGAAATATTTTGGAAATTGTTGCGAGATTGGAGCCTTGTACTTAGTTTCGTGGGCACTTGCTGTATGGACAGGCTGGCTCCCAAATCCCAGCAAGCAGAAGGTGTGAATGACCTTGTTTAGGAGCTGAGCTATTACCTGTTGATCAGTGGCTTAAATTGGAGCAGCCCTTGCTGTGCTCTGCTATCAGTCTCCTTAGAGTAACAGATTTACGACCGTGCAAATGCCTTCATGAAATACGATGGGGCAATTTGAGATGGTGACTTTGCTTTGCCCAGCAAGTGAGCTGAGGGTCAGATTTGGCTTGGTGATGGTTTTCCTTCTCCAGTCCTGGTTCAGATTTGCTTACAGAATAAGTTTATCCGATGAACAGTTAATTGACAAGTTCTTTGGAAAACACCTCGAGTCTGTTGCACAACATGAGTGGGCAAAGGCAGAAGTGGGTTGCTGTGCAGTCAGGAGCAGCACAACTGCTTTGATGGATCTTGGTAATTAGTATTTACTGTGAGTCAATTATGTCACAGGTATTTTAATGAATGGGTGACTGGGGAAAAACACAACCACCTCCTGAGAAACCTGAACAAGTGATTTATTGTTATTATTTTCAAGAACAGATATCTGTATTGAACCCCCTGTTTAATGGAGTTTAGGGAGGGATGTGAATAATTTCTGCCTAATTTTGGCCAGAGATGTTTTGAGGCCAACTCAATGGCCCGACCAAGGAGCTACAACCTCCTGAAGTGAGGCTTCCTTTCTCTGCCCTTTCTGCTGCCTGTCTCCTGCCTGTCCATCCCTACTTGTGGGACAGTGACAAGTGGCTTCTGTGAGCCTGGGGCTTCCAGGTTTTAAGTGGATTGAACTTCAGCTGGGTCACTGCTGTGTGCCTGCCTTTGTGATCTCTTGGAGAGGCTTTTCCTGTCCGAGTGTGCGGTGCTGGCTTCCAAGGAAAGCCCAGCTGGCAACAACCACTACCTTTGAGAGAGAGTAGAGGCTTTCAGCAAAATATTTGGGAGTGCTCAGGTTTCCGTAGTGGAGGCCAGCTCCATTTCTGTAATGAAATGCTTTCTTGGATTTCACAAGGATGTTGTTGCATCGATGCAGAGAGAGGGAGGATGTTAAATCCCTCCTGCAGTGGTGGTGGCTGTGCTGGCTGGAGAGCTGAGGTGAGCAGCTGCTTGTGACTACCTGGGAGCTCGCTGGGTCCAGCAGGAGTTACCTTCGAGGCATGTTAGACCATAGACAGGTTTCCTGTCAAAAACCAGGGGAAGGAAGGATGCCACGTGGCCAGGAAGCTGCACCTCTCGAGGTGATGTGGTACAGGGCTTGGGTCTGACTGAGGGCAAAGGCTGGAAAAGCTTCATTTTTATTTTCATGCAGAAAAAAATCTTAAAACCTTTACCCTTGTGTACAGAACAGTTCTGATTTTCCAGGCATCCCCTCAGCTGTCCTCTATATAAAATTAACTCCAAAGCCTTTCCCTCAGAGCCAGCCCAGGTGAGGAACCAGTGGTGTGCCCGATCCCTGCCTGTGCCTCTCCCATGTGGGCTGCTTGAGCTGGAAACCACGCTGTGCCCACATTGCTCCCAGTCCCCAGCTCTCTCCAGGAGCACGAGAAGCCCCTGTGTCCATAACCCTGTGTTCTCCTTCACCTCACAGATCACCTCGTGGCCCACGGGCGCATGGCCGAGAAGGAAGCCCGGAGAAAGTTCAAGCAAATTGTGGCTGCTGTCAACTTCTGTCACTGTCGTAACATAGTCCACAGGGATCTGAAGGCAGAAAATCTCCTCCTGGATGCAAACCTGAACATCAAAATAGCAGGTGAGCTAAGCTGAGCGGTGTGGGAGGAAGGCAGCTGCTTTCAGGAGTTAATAAATGTAGGCACTGGCTGCTTCCAGGTATTCAGGGAGAAGGAAACGCGGTGCAGCTAAAGGAAGCTTTGGATTTCTGTGTGGCCTGCTGCCCAGAGCTGGAACTGCCAGGTTGTAGCCAGGAGATTTATACCTCCCTTCAAGTAGTGCAAAGTAAAAGAAGAAGGAAAAAAAGGCAGGTTTGGCTTCCCAGGCTGCAGACACTGCGGCGTTCACTCCTCTGGCTGGTGGGTGAGACAGTACCCCAAAACTGACCTTGTTCTGAGTTGCTGCTGGTTCGGGGCTCCTTCAGAGCAGGTCAGGCTAGGTGAGAGCAGGAATGGCAAAGCAGGGGTGACAAGGTGGATGGTGGAGCAGTGAAGGGGAAACTGCGCTCCTGGAATCGTTCTCGATGTGGTGTGACAGAGCCAGAGTGGCCTCAGTGCTCTGGGGCTTTATTCCCTGCAGGGAGAGAAGCTGAAGCAGCTGAGCACACAGGCCCTCGCTGCCTGCTCCCAGAGTTTTGCAGGGCAGTGGATTTTTTTGTCACTAACTGCCCTTACAGAGAGCTTCCTCCGTGGGCATTTCTGTCCTGACCTAACCCATGCATGTCTGTAATCCTCTGAGCAGGAGACTGAGCCTTGGCTCATCTCTGGGGGCCACTGGCTTGACTTTATTTGCCTTGGTGGGATTATGACTAATTGAACCAACAAGACTTAACACTTAAGAGTTAGGCTCAATCCTCGTGGATCCTTTCCAACTCAGAATATTCTGTGATTCTGCTCTGGTCATCTCATTTCACGGGCTTTGGAAGTGGTAGATCTTGTACTCAGCATTTAATCCTCCCAGAGCCTAGAGCACAGCACAGCACCTTTAGAAACACTTGGTTGCTCCCTGGGAAGTCTCCCAGCAGACATCCTGGGTCAGATTGTTGTCTTTTGCAAGGGTTTGTAACTTGTTTTTTTTTATTTTAAGTGCTGAAGGCTACAAAACTTTTCAGTCTGAGCAATTTTACTTCTGGGAGGTGGGAAATACTCCTCTGTCTAGATAGCAGATAGCATCTTGAAGAAAGGAAGCAGTCTAGCTCGTTGTTGCTGCTTTCTTGTGTACCATCCAGAGGTGTTAGATTAGAATTCAACTCTCGGTTTGTGGTAAAATCATCAGTAATTTTCTTACTCTTCCCTCGCACTCCATCTGTGAGGAGTGAGTGGGGAAGGAATAGGAAGAAGAGATGGACTTCATGGACTTCCCTCTGGTGCTTAACAGTGTGAACCATGTCCTCCTTGGCACAGGGGTGATAACCTGCCCCTCACTGTTCTGGGAGCAGGAGATAAGTGACAGAGGCATCGCTGGTGAAGCAGGAGAGCAGCTCCTCGGAGCTGTGGAGGGGCTGTGGAGCTCAGGGAGAGGCTGCTGGAGAGGTCTCTGAGCAGCACTTTCTGGTGTTCCATGCAAAGGCTGCACTAATGGTTTGAGGCCATCTTGTGTTCACGGCAAAAATCCACTCTGTGTGCAGGGGAAGGGTGTTTGCCTGGCAAACAGCGAGAAGTTAAAAACTAACCCAGGTGGAAACTGGAATTCAGCTGGATTTGCTGCAGAAATGCCCACATGAGCAGGCTGAGAAGCTCTGGAAATTGTGGAAACCTTTTTTTATCTAAGGGAGTTGGAAACTATTTTCCTTCCAAATCTGTGCTCCCAGAATGACTCCAGGAGATAGTCCCCACCCTGGTGGTGGCAGTGTTTGCCTTGGCAGGAAGATGCTGTAGTGCTTTGAAAAGTAGCCTGGAAAAGCTGATTTATGGTATAGGATTTTCCAAGTATTAAGTTTTCTCCCTACAACTTGACACCAGTTCTTCCATTGTTTCAAGAGAAGAAAAAAAAAACCAAAAAAAAAGTGATAGCACCAGATCTGCTTCACACCAGACCTCCCAGGAGCAATGCTATAGAAATGCACACACCAGTTACATTGGTGGAGAACCAGCTGCAGCTTCACTTACTGGGCCAAACTGTGTCAAACTTTGAAGCTTTTCAGACTCTCATCAGTGCAGGTTTTCTGGCACTTTCTGCCTGGCATCCATTTGCAGTTTTAAATCCCTTGCCTGGCATTGCGTTCAGCCTGCAGCCCGGGGTGGGCAGTGCTGCTGCTCTCAGTGCTGCTCACTGGCAGGGTGGGCAGTGCTGCTGCTCTCAGTGCTGCTCACTGTTTGGGAGGATGAGCAGTGCTGCTGCTCTCAGTGCTGCTCACTGGCAGGGTGGGCAATGCTGCTGCTCTCAGTGCTGCTCACTGGGAGGGTGGGCAGTGCTGCTGCTCTCACTGCTGCTCACTGGGAGGGTGGGCAGTGCTGCTGCTCTCAGTGCTGCTCACTGGCAGGGTGGGCAGTGCTGCTGCTCTCACTGCTGCTCACTGGGAGGGTGGGCAGTGCTGCTGCTCTCAGTGCTGCTCACTGTTTGGGTTGCTTTGTGATTGATTGCTGCCTCGCCGTTTTTCCGTAAACAGCCAGATCCCGGTGCTGTGACCCTCGCTCTCATTTTTCCCATGGATGCTTTTTCTCCAGTGTACCTTCTGAGAGTCTGAGTCAGTAGCTGCTGGCACTGCATCCCCTGTGCTCCCAGCCGGAGAGTTCAGCCAGGAGTTGATGATTGCTAAACACCCCGGCCTTCCCGGGTATGGTTTCGCAGAGGAATCTGATCTATGCATCGCTCTGCATTCGTCTGCAGGAGTCAGCTGCTCCTTCCCCTCCTGAGGATGAAATCCCTGTAGGGCAGAGACTGAAGCCACTCCCTGAGCTCCACTCCAAGGAAACTTGAGGGACTGGACCCACTGTTTTGTACCAGAGATGTTTGTTTTAAATATTTTCCCTGTATCACATCATCGTGACTCACCTTGCTGTTCAAAAATGCCTCTTTCCCTCTGCATCTGTTTGTGGAATGTGACCTGATTGCTCCCTGAGGATTTGAGAGCATCTCCTTGGCCATAGATTTTAAGAAAGTTTATTTAAGTTGTAATTTGTGTTTTTGTTTGGTTTAGATTTTGAGCTTAGCTGCTCCAGGGTTTTCAAGTCCTCCCGTGAACTTTCTTTGGGTTTTTAAAGCGCTGCTGTTTTCCCCAGCCTTGAGCTCAGCCCCACAGCGCAGGTGGGACGTGGAGGCCGTTCCCAGCCTGGGAGCAGTGTCCTGGAGAGGATCTGCTGGCTCCAGCTCCCCACAGAGCCCGGCAGGGTTGGGCACAGCAGCATCCCTGCCCATGGAGAGAGGCTCCACCCGAGAGCCGGGGCAGCGCGGGGCGAGCGCAGAGCCTGCGACCCGCTGCCCCCTCGGAACAGAGCCTGCATTTCCCCTTCTCCCACCTCCTCCCCCTGTCCAGAAGGGCTGTGAATCCCTGCATGGATTTCAGCACCATGAGGAAGGGGTGAAGTTTCCCGGCCGCCCAATCTGCAGGAAGCAGAGGAGGGTGCAGGCAGCAGCTGTTGCGTGTCTGTTCCGAGGCTGCGGTGCTGCCAGCTGGCATGGCACGGCCCTGGAATGGCATGGAATGGCACAGCCCTGGAATGGCACAGCCCTGCCCCTGCTGCTGACACTCGCTGTGACCTGTGCAGCACAGTGGGGAGCACCTCGAGCCTCTCACCTGAGCAGGGCTGGGCCTGCTCCCGGCTGTGCACTCCTTGGAAAATATAGGCGGTTCACCAGGTGCTCAAAGCCCACCTGTGTACTTACAAGGACAAATAAAAGTAACTAAACTAGGATAACTTGTTCAATATATGGGAAGTGCCAAAATTCCACCGTCAGAAGGAGTTTATGTCTAAACCTGCTACAAATGCTGTGTGTTGGGAAATACATCCAGTGCTGCAGGGTTTATTGTTGGCTCCGGTGGCCATAACTCAGGCACTTGTTACACATCCTGCTTGGAACGTGAGACAGCAGCTCAAAGCTTGCAGAGGTGGAAAAGACAATTGTGCAGCTGTGTGCTATTTCCCTGGAATTGTCCTCCAAAGGCTGACTGGAGGTTTAGATGGCTTCACTGCCAACAGTAAAAACCCAACGGGCGTGTAAGTGCCTTGTTTTGATTCCACGGTGCCTTTAAAGAACATTTACCATCTCTGCTCTGTTTGGAGGTGGGGTTGGAGCAGCCTGGTGTGTGTACTCCAGGTGTTTCCACAGAACAGCCTGCGTTAAGTATTCTCCACATGCATAAATCATCTCCACAGTGAGAATTTCCTCCCTGCAAAGGGACAGGGAGAAGGAATTCAGCTGTGTCCCCCTGGAGCTGAGCTGGCAGGAGCAGTGCCAGGTGGTCTGCTGGGTTCTGCAGATGCTGTGCAAAAGAGGAGAGGAATCACCTGAAATTAGGTCATGGAAAATCCTGTAAGGAGAGCAGCAAGAGGGAGCACAGACTCACCAGTTAGTGCATTCTGGGGAGTGCTGGTGGGATTTTCTTGCCTCTGGCACAGAGCTGTTGGCATCACTGGTGATCCTCACTTAGAAGTAGGTGTGGAAGTGGTAATGAATTGGTAATTAACTGGTAGTATTGGGTAATCTTGAATGTGTTAGAAAAAACATGTGGACACCTCTGAACTCCTCTCTGGGACTGAGGTTGCTTCAATTCAATTGAGAAGAAAAAAAGGAAGGAAACTTCTTTCTTTTTATGAGCACCAGCTCCCTTCTCTTAGATCCAGACTGGTTTCCTTGCCCTTTGCAGTGCAGGTCCCAGCTGTGAGCCAGGGGGAGGCAGATTAATTAACAAGGAATGCCATTAGTGCCCACATAAGCTAATGGTTGGCTGCCTGCGAGGTGAAGACCTTTCTCTTTGAGGTTTTGTTATTTGCTCTTGGTGAAGGATTTGACTGTTGGTAGAGCTGCCCACCATGACCCTGTAGTGCTTTCTGGAAAAATCAAAATTCCCATTCTTTTTCCCTTTGCACTCTGTCCTTGCTGGCACTGCCCAGAGCTCAGGGCACCGGGGAGGCTTGGAGTCACCTCCCCGGGAGGTGTCCAAGGAAAGATGGACATGGTATTCAGTACTCTGAGCTGGTGACAAGGTGAGGATCGGGCACTGGTTGGACTTGATGACCTGGAGGTCTTTTCTAACCTCAGTGATTCCATTTGCAGTGTCCGTGTACAAGTTACCCATTACAGGATGGTATGTGACCTTACCAGACTCAGCAAGTTACTGAAATACCATTTGTTCAGGACACTTGGAGTGAATCACACCCCTCTCATCGCTTCTCTTTGTTCTTTCAGATTTTGGGTTCAGCAACATCTTCACCCCTGGCCAGCTCCTTAAAACCTGGTGTGGGAGTCCTCCCTATGCTGCTCCAGAGCTCTTTGAAGGCAAGGAGTACGATGGGCCAAAGGTTGATATTTGGGTATGTAATGAGCCTCTTTCTCTCTGACTTTGATCTGATTTTTGCTCTGTTTGTTTGGCTTTGCTTCCTGAGTTCTCAGTCCATGTCTTGGAGAAAATCCCTGACACAGCAAAAAAGAGTTTTCCAAAGAAACGCTTCCAGAGCTGCGTTCTGGCTACTACATCCTGTATTTTCCCTGTGGGGAGGTGCCAGAAGCGTGCAGGGCCCAGAGCTGGATTCCCGTCCCGCCTGGCGTTGCTGACTGGGTTTGTTTTGGGTGCAGAGCCTCGGCGTGGTGCTGTACGTGCTGGTGTGCGGGGCCCTGCCCTTCGACGGGAGCACCCTGCAGAACCTGCGCGCGCGGGTGCTCAGCGGCAAATTCCGCATCCCCTTCTTCATGTCCACGGGTAAGGGGCACTCGGGTTTGCACTACACCTCCCTCGGTTTTAGCTTTTTACAGCGTTATGGGGCAGGAATTTCCAGCAACAGCCCCGTCAGAGATGAGCGTTTGTGTCCTGCTGCTGCAAGAACACTTTAATAATAAATCTGGAGTGTGAAAAGTGTGATTAATTTCCATATTGATCAGCTTAACAAAGAGTCACGTGTAGGTACTTGGTTGCCTGCTGTCAGGTTAAGGAACAATTTTGCATGGTGTTTCCCAGCTGAAGATCTCCTTGCTTGCTGTCTTATCTGGGGAAGAAGTTCTCTCCATGCAGAAATTTCTGCTAAAACATGGAGCTTTCAAAGCAAGCTTAGATCCCAGCCTAAACAGGAGAGCCTCAGCAGTCCCTCTTGGTGACAGCACATGTGGAATGCCATGGCACAGCTGTGGAGTGGAGAACATTCTGTGGGTCCTTTGCTGTCAACCTCCCAAAGCCACTCACATCAAGCTGGGGAGGGACAGGGTGACAGGGCTCTGCGTAGCCAGGGTGGTTTCCCTCCTTCCTAGTGCAGGGAACCAATGTCTGCAGCAGTGAGGCACGCTGGGGACCCAGCAGGTGTGAAGTGCAGAGGAGGAGCACTGTTCCTGTGAGTTACTTCCCAGAGGGGAGCTTGGAAAGGCAGCGCTGCAGCAGCCGTGCCCCTGCCCGCGGGTGACCCAGCCTCTCTTCCCTGGCAGAGTGTGAACACCTGATCCGCCACATGCTGGTGCTGGACCCGAGCAAGAGGCTCTCCATGGAGCAGATCTGCAAGCACAAGTGGATGAAGCTGGGGGAGGCTGATGCAGAGTTCGACAGGGTGAGCAGCAGCGAGCAGGGTCTGCTCAGTGACTCAAACGGGCTCTGGGCACGTGGTGCTGCAGTGTTGCTTCTGCTCCTTGGGAACACTCATTCCCAGGCATGGCCTTTCCTTTTCTCTGTCTCCTGGCCCTGCTTTCCACATCACTCCTTATCTGTGTACATTTTTGTATCTTCCCCCGTGGTCCTGGGAGCTTGGGGCAGTGGATTTTGCATCAGTTGCCATCAGACCTCGCGCCAGCTGCAGCCAGAGCGCGGTGCTTGGGCTCTTGGGAGCGCTGTGACTCATCAGTGTGCCTTTGGGAATGTCAGCTCTGACGGTGTGCCTGTGCCCTCACAGCTGATAGCAGAGTGTCAGCACCTGAAGACCGAGAGGCAGCTGGAGCCGCTGAACGAGGACGTGCTGCTGGCCATGGCGGACATGGGGCTGGACAAGGAGCGCACGGTGCAGGTGAGGCCTGGCGTGTCCTGCCTGCTGCTCCTGCCCATCTCTGGCTGTGTTTGGTGGCGGCTGAGCAGCCCCAGCACAGTATAAAATGGATTTATCAGTGCCCAGGAAGGAGTGACAGCTCTGCTTTGCCTTGCAGTCACTGCGAGCCGACGCCTACGATCACTACAGCGCGATCTACAGCCTGCTCTGCGACCGCCTCAAGAGGCACAAGAACCTGCGCATCGCGCCCGCGCCCAGCATCCCCCGCACCGTCACCTTCCCCACCTCGGCCAACATCCAGGTGCACCCCCTTTGCCAGTGTTCTTCCAGCCCTGCAAGGCCAGCCAGTCCCTTCCCTGCCAAACTCAGACTCGCTCGTGGGTGTGCACACCCTGGCTGGAGTGTCAAAATGTTCCTCAGCTGAGAATTTGGTGTGTGTTTAGGGTGCCCTAATCCTGAGGTTAGCAACACTTTGTGCATTGGTTAAACATCCTTCAGAGAGTCTTCTGCTTGCTTAGTGGCATGGGGGAAGGAACTGAGGGAGTTATTGGGAGCTGGAGTCCCCAGCCCAGGGCTGCTGTGTGATGCTTCCTCCCCACTTTGTGCTGCTGATGCAGCAATGAGCACTTGCTTTGGGAGAGACCAGGTCATAAGGGAAGCAGAAGAGATGCTGACCCTGCCTGAACAGAAGGAAGAGGGGGTAAACAAGGCAACCTCTTGAGAATAAACCGCTCTTCACTGGCTCCAGGGTCACCTTTCTGTTCCAGGTGCTTAGGGCTGGTGTTAATCCAGCAGTATTTGTAAAACAATGCTGTGTTTGTGTCTTCTGATCCTTCTCTCTCCACTCAGCAGACAGAACAGACAGGCAACACCATGAACATCAATGTGCCCCAAGTCCAGCTCATCAACCCTGAGAACCAAATTGTGGAGGTGAGGTACATCCCCATGACCCCTGCAAGCTCTTTTTCTGGCTCACATCTTTTTCCTTTGATCCTCATGTTACATTTCAACATCTCCAATGTTTGTCCTGCCTAGACTGATGGAACAATGAACTTGGACAGTGATGAAGGGGAGGAACCATCACCCGAGGCTCTGGTCCGCTACCTCTCTATGAGGAGGCACACAGTGGGAGTAGCTGACCCACGGTGAGTTCTGTGGTCCAACCTGGACATTCACTCCCAGGAGGTGACTTTGGTCCTTCTGGGTGTTCTTTTAAGGTGCCAGTCCCCCTGCACAGCTTGGTCAACATTTTAGATGGGGGTGAGGTACCTTCCTCCTGCTCTTCCTAATCAGCTCTGGGTGAGCTGTGCTCTTGGTCAAGGCAAGTGCCTCACCTGAGCTGCACTGCTGTCATGTCCAAGGTGAAGTTTTTGTGATAAATGCCATCAAGGTTAATGCCCAAGAGCTAATTCTGCCAAATCTCAACATGGAGGGGGAAAAAGGAACAAATAACACCAAAGGGTGACTTGGCTGCTCTGTGTGAGCATTTACCAGAGCAGTAAGAAGCTTTTTGTGAAGGGAAGCTGGGTGTGCTGGGTCTGTGAGGGGTTTCCTCACATCATGGCCAATTCCCCTCTCCCAATGTGATTGTACAGGACGGAAGTCATGGAAGACCTGCAGAAGCTCCTGCCTGGCTTCCCCCGTGTCACTCCTCAGGCTCCGTTCCTGCAGGTGACCCCGAATGTGAACTTCATGCACAGTGTGCTGCCCAGGCAGAACCTGCAGCCCACGGGGCAGCTGGAGTACAAGGTACTGCCCACGGTCCCTGCTGTGCTCTGTGCCCTGCCCGGTGGGAGGGCTGCTTGTGCTCCCTCTGTTTGTCACTGCTTGGACTGCCTCAAGAATTACTCTCTATGTATGATTCCAGTTGGTTCTCAAAAGTAGGCTTGGATCAAATATTAGGAAAATATTCTTTACTTGAGAGTGGTGAAGCACTGGAACAGGTTGCCCTGAAAAGCTGCGGATATCCCATCCCTGGAAGTGTCCATGCCAGGCAGGATGGAGCTCTGAGCAACCTGGGACAGTGGAAGGTGTCCTTCCCATGGCAGGGTGTTGGAATGAGATGATCTTTAAGGTCCTTTCCAACCTAAACCATTCTGCGACTCTGTGAAAAAGCCGAAGAATGAAAGAGCAGTGCAATACGAAATGAATAAATGGGCTGGGGAGAAATAGGACTTTGAGCTGCAGGTTGCAGCCTGCCTAGCAGCTAAAGCAGCGTGCAGGGACAGGGAGCTGCAGAGTTAAACCCTGCCCCACATCCCTTCGGGATGCTGGTGCCATGCCTGAGGCCCAGAGGGCTGCTCTTCTCCTGCTGCATGCCCCGGGGTGGGTAACGTGCTGTGTGTGTGTTGCAGGAGCAGTCCCTGCTGCAGCCCCCCACGCTGCAGCTGCTGAACGGGATGGGCCCGCTGGGCCGGCGCGCGTCCGACGGCGGGGCCAACATCCAGCTGCACGCGCAGCAGCTGCTCAAGCGGCCCCGGGGCCCCTCGCCGCTCGTCACCATGACGCCAGTGAGTAGCACAGGGAAGGCAGAGAGCTTCAGAACATCCCTCCCGCGGGCAGAGGTGGCTGTGCCCGGGTCACAGCGGGCCCGGCGCTGCCGGGCTGCGCCCGCTCGCTGCCAGAGGTCCCCTGCTCCCCCGTGCAGGGCTTGCTGTGCTCTCCCCGAGGTGGCACGTGGGGTTGTGTGTTCCTCTCTGGAGCTGATGGTGTTTGTGCACTTTTTAATGGTTGCTTCTGTCCTTTGCTGATCCCATGGAGAAAACCCAAGTGTCCATCTCAGGCGTTCGGGCGTGCTCTCGCTTCCATCTGTATCAATGAATTCTCCGAGTCACAGCGGCCCTGCCCGGGCAGTTGGACTGGGGAAGGAATGTTGGAAGGGGTTCTTGGCCAGGTTTCCGTGGTGCTGCAGAGGAGCCAACACACACCCCTGTGGAAGCTTGCTTGGGAAGATCAGGTGTCCCCTGTGCTGGGTGTCCTCCTGAGCTGTGGCCTCTCTCTCCACAGGCTGTCCCAGCTGTCACCCCTGTGGACGAGGAGAGCTCCGATGGGGAGCCAGACCAGGAAGCTGTGCAGAGGTAATTCCCACTGTTAACATTTGCCCTTCCTACCTCCACAAGGCTCACCTTGGGCTGTTCCAGAGCTGATTCAAACACAGCAGCCTCATCAGGGCACCACTGTTGATTTTACAGCGAAGGCTCAACACTTCTCCTGTTCCTCTGGGTGTTGGTTACTGCAGGCAGTTACTCCTCTGGCACTGCTGGGTGCTTGCAAAGCTGGATTCCTCTGAAATGGGTAGCTGGTTGAGCAGTAGGTTCTCCAGAAACTCTTGGAACTGCTAAATTCCTTTGCTTAGTGTGCACCAGCATGCGATCCACACTAACCTGCCAAGTGAGTGCCGAGGGGTTCCCCTCCCTGCTGGGTGCTGGAGGAGGGGGAGTCTCCTCCGTGGCCTTGGGTGCCAGTGCAGCAGCTTTTGTATCAAGACATGCAGTAAACATCCAACTCTGATGCCTCAAACAAAGTGAGCTTGCTGGAATTACGGGTACCTCTAGCTGCTAATTTTAGCATCAGGCCTTAAAATAGTCTGCTCAATAAAGGAAGCATTATTAGCTCTCAGGCTGGGAACTTCTGTTCTCTGTGTCTGCTCTAAACAAATTGTAGGAAGTGGGTAGAATGTGCTTGTACTTTCTCAGTCCATGAACACACTAACCATGGCCTTGCTAACATTTTCGTAGGAGCTTTTGCATAGTTTCTTCTCTGCTAACCAGCTGGGCACTACGTGTGGTGGGTGCTCCTGCTTCTTACCTCAAACTGGAAGAGCTTTCTGGATCCCCCTTTGTACAGGTCATCACCTGGGTAAGGGAGTGGCTCCTCAGGGGCTCACAGGGGTTCAGACTGGGGGTTGTTGCAGGCAGGGTGACGCTGGGGTGGGTGCAGATCATGCTCCAGAGCCTTGGCCAGCTCTGCTCCTCTCAGTGCTCCCAAGGAACAGTGGGTGTGAGCAGTGACAGGCTGTGCACTGAGACTCCTTTTGCATACCTCAGCCTGGAAAGTCCACTTGTAGCCTCAGTAATAGCTTCCACAGCCAGTTCTAATATAGTAATGTCCTCTGACAGCACCTCAAACAGCAGGTGGTCTTCTTGGCTGTGCAAACACGATAAATCTCATTCTTGGCAAGGGGGTGCCTGCACATCTCACCTGGGCAGATTTTCACAATCCTAAACCTGAAGGATTCAGTTGAGCCTTTAAAGCATTAGCTCAGCTGGAAACATTTTGAAACCCCTGTGCAGTGTTTTGCAAGGCACTGAAATGTTCAGATCCCACTGAAAACTAAGTCCCCTTGGACTCAGAGGTCACTTCACTGCTCTCGACAGTGCTGCCCTTAGTTCTTTCACAGCACATGTTCTTCTTCCACCAGATGGCCTTGAACAGGCACCATCCAGGTTGTGTGTTAGTGTTCTCCACCCCCTTGTGTTGCAACATGTCAGTAGTCATCAGAGGAGAAGGGTAAATAGCATTAACATCAGGGACAGATGCAAATATTTAGCTTCTCAGAACACTGCCCCAAATACTCTGTTTGCAGCCACCAGTGAGCAGCTTTTGCCCTCCTTAATCTGACCTTGAAAGCAGAGCACAGTCTTCTCTCTGTTCCAGGGAGCAGTCACATCTCCTTTGAGCTTTGGGAAACTTTCTTCCACCCGAAACGCTGTTAGAGCTCATGATTGGATTGTTCCCTGGAGGGCTGAAATAAAATGATCTTAGCAAACCACAACAGTAAAGCTCTTTGGGAGCCTTTCCCTGTCTACATCAAATGATTCTTAAACAGCTAATGGCACGGGCTTTGGCGGGGCACCACGGCACTGTTAACCTGCTTCTTCTGCTTAAGTGGCTTCAGCAGCAAAGAGAGGCTGGGTTTGGGCAAGTCTGGATCGCTTGCTGCTCTTTCTGCTTCCCAGGGCAGTTGCAGAGGAGCAGAGCAGAGGTGAGGGTTTGCAGGTGTCACTGGCCGAGTGGTGCATGGCCTGGCTGCCAGAGCTGCTGGTTCACAGGGCAGAAAGGGTTGAGTTCATCCAGCAGCCTTGAGCAGGCACGGCCTGGGTGCAGTGCCAGCCCTGGGCACGGGCTTCAGCCCCTTTCTGCCAGCCCCACTGCCCTGGGCTCGGCTGTGCCGGGAGCAGCAGGCAGGCAGCAGCTCTCAGCACTGCCCAGCCCTTCCTCACATCCTTGCTGGAGCAGAGGCTCCAAGTTCTCCCTCCCTGCTCTCTGGGGCTTTGCAGGAGACCTGCAGCTCTTTTCCAGCACAGAGAGGGCTTTTGTTTGAGCTGTTGTCTCCCAGCTCAGGTGTGAGGCAAGCCCAGCCCTGGTGCTGGTGTCTCCAGAGGGAGGAACCCTCTCGCTGCTCGGTTCCCGTTCCCTGCGCATCCCGGGCCATTCCCGGCCTTCAGCAGGGACTAGATGGCGCACTTGGACCGGGCTGGCACAGCCCAGCCTCAGCCCAGCCCTTCCTCCTGCTCCTCGGGCAGCCTGCGGTGGCTGCAGCCTTCCCCAGCCTGCAGCTGGTGGCCGGAGCCGGGGTGTGCCAGGCTTGCTCTGGGGAGCAAAGCCTCACGGGCAGGAGCAGCAGCTCTGCCCCGTGCCCAGCTCCATGCCCAGCTCTGTGCCCAGCTGAGCCCAGTTCTTTGCCCAGCTCCATGCCCAGCCCCGTGCCCAGCTCCGTGTCCAGCTCTGCCCATCTCCGTGTCCAGCTCCATGCCCAGCTCCCTCTGGCTTGTCTCTGCCCTGGCTCCCCGGGCTGGGACAGAGGGGCAGACCTGCTCTGGAGCAGTGAATGCACACTGAGGGCAGGTGGGTATTCCCAAAGGGACATACCAGCATTCCCCTTGAGGTGAAACGTGCCTTTCCTGCTGGGAAGAGCAAACGGCTCCTCTTTCCTTCCAGGCTGGCAGTGGAGCACCAGCTCTTGTGCCCAGAGCACTGGGGAGGCAGTGCTGTGACGGGCATGGGCAGCGTGTCCGTGGCGTCCTGAGCGCTGCACCAGCTTCTTCCTTCCTGTTCTCTCTGGATTATCTAACACTCCCTGTTTTCGGAGGACTCCCATCAGTCTCTTATAAAATGTGCTCCTGCTTGTTGCAGATACTTGGCAAATAGGTCAAAAAGGCACACTCTGGCCATGACCAACCCTACAGCTGAAATCCCTCCAGACTTGCAGAGGCAGCTAGGACAGCAGCCCTTCCGAGCCCGGGCTTGGGCTCCACACCTGGGACCCGACCAGCACCGGTGAGTAACGGCACCGGCCGGGCAGCGTGCGCCACCAGTCCTGCCCGGGTGGCCTGGAATGGAGCACCGAGGACATCCCGCTGGCAGGGAGGGGTGAGGAGGAGGAGGAGGAGCAGGGACGAAGAGCAGACCCACAGAGCAGAGGGTGTCTGACCCCCTGCCTGCAGACCAGCAGGAATCAGCTGCCTCTTCCCTCCAGTCCCACTTCTGTGGCTGGACATGATTTGCTGGAATGGCTGCCATCACAGAAATGAGGGGAATAAGCCATTTTTTTTTTTTTAGAGGAAAGCTTTTCCCTGTGTAATGGTAGGCATCAAGGTAGCAGATTTGCTACAGAACATTTTTGGAGGCAGATGCAGGAAAAAGATTGCACCAAGATTCTTCCACAGCAGAGCTTAAAATCCTCACTGTTCTGCACCAGAGTTGTGTGTTCTGACTGCAAAGTCTCTGTGCAAAGCTCCTCGAGAGTAATTTCATTTCTCACCTGAACCCTTAATGGGAATGATGTGAGAAAAGGAATCTGGGTGGGGAAGGAAAAAAAAATCACAGTGTCTGGGAAAGAGGGAACTTTTGGATTGGATCTAAATATACCCAGGATGTGTGGGAGGGACAGTCCTGATGGAGAGGTGTTAATGTGACAGAGTCCTTGTCACAGCAGCCAACTGGAGATGCTAATGCCACAGAGGGAGCTTAAATTCCTCTTAACAAAAAATAAAAACCCTCCTAAAAATGCTTGAAAGTGCCCTGACACCTCAGTGCTAGGAGCAAACCAGCTGCACACTGGAGCTTGCTGCCTCTTGGGAAGGCAGTGGCTGCCAGGCCAGGCTGGTGCTGCTGTTCAGCCCCTCGGGCAGCTCACACTGGCAGGCTGGACAAAGCCCTTTTTATTGGAGCCAGAGACCTGCTGAGCTGAGCACTGATGTAATCAGCAGGGACAGGTGAACTCTGAGCAGACTGAGACACTGCTAGTGCCACGCTGGAGCTCTGGAAAACCAAGATAAGAACCTCTCTGCCCTCAAGTTACTCCCTCAGAGGTGCCTGGGGGATGGGAAGAGCAGGAGGGGAAACATTTCTAGGGCCACAGCTTGATAGGAAGGAGAATGCAGCTTGCAAAAGAAGCAGAATGTGCTGTGTCCTGCTTTCAGCATTGCTGCAAATCCTAAAGGTAAGCAAGTCCCTCGCACACAGCAGGAACGGAATTTTAACAAGACTTTAAGCACACTTACCCTGTAAATAACATTGGTGTCACCTCTGGCTCTTGGCTCTGGAGTCCTGAAGCTGTTGCATCACGAGCAGGGTGGTATCTGCTCGTTCCAGTCTTGGTGTTGTAATGTGCTGTGAGCCTGTTCTGTGTTTTTCCTGTGAAATCACAGAAATTTCATCTGACCATGGTCTAAACACAGTGTTCCACAGTGAGTTCATTGCACACCTGGCACAGAAATTGGCAGTCAGTGTGTAAATAAACCACATTATTGAATGGCAGGTGGATTTTATTTTAGCCCTTAGCCTATTTTAAGCCATCTTATGTGTCTTCTTATTTGTCACATTAAATATCTGAAAGCAGAATTGAAGTACAGCTGTACAGGGAAGTGCAGCTGTTCTGCCTTGCCCACACGGGTTTCAAAAACTCAGCATGATTTTATCTGTAGCTTCTGCTTTCCATCAATGCAACAGGAGAACAAATGGATCAGGATAATGGATGGGATGGCTTCAAAAGGCAGGAGCATGGCTCTTTCCCTGGAAGGAAGCTGAACTGTGGCCTCCTAAGGCAGAGACAGGGACAAAATGGAGCCCAGCCTGCTGGAAGTGGTCCAGCATCAGTCACCTGTGACAAGGGGAGCCTCAGGGTGAGCTCTGGAGCTCAGGACCACTCCAGCTGCAGCCAGATGGGCTCTGGCTGGGTTTGGTGTCAGAGGTGCTGTAAAGACCACGTATCCATGACCTTCTCACACACAGAGCTGCTGCTGGAGCCTGGGCATTAAATGCTGCTTGCTGGGTTCTGGAGATGCCATCTGCAGAACTTTACAAAAGCAATCCTTTAGTGGTGGGAGAAAATCCTCCCTGTGAGGGTGGGGAGGCCCTGGCACAGGATGCCCAGAGAAGCTGTGGCTGCCCCATCCCTGGGGGTGTCCAAGGCCAGGTTGGACAGGGCTTGGAGCAACCTGGGCTAGTGGAAGGTGTCCCTCCCAGCCCAAACCATTCTGTGTTTCTATGATTTGCACAGAAATCAGGTTCCAGAGATAGCATTTGCCCAGAAACAATGAGGGCAGGCAGAAAGCCCCAGCTGTTTGTTGTGAGGCACATTGTGACGAGTGTCTGCCAGGTTATCTCTGCTCCTGATAACAGGTGGCACCTAATGGCAGGGCAGGAGCTCAGTGAGCCCCAGCTTCGGGAGAAAACAGCTCCTGAGAAAAATCTGGCTCCCTCTGATGGCAGAGAAACCTCATTGAGAAGGGGAAGTGCTTGAGGTGCCCTGGGCACAGCTGGGTTCAGATGTGCCCATTCTGATTGCCCAGGCAGCTGGGAGGCTGCTGGAGCTGCAGTCTGTACTGGAGTTTGTGTTCTGGCTGGTGTCACGTCAGTAACCCCCTTCCCCCCGTGTTCAGTTCCATCTACAAGGACTCCAACACTCTGCACCTCCCCACCGAGCGCTTCTCCCCAGTCCGGCGCTTCTCCGACGGGGCTGCCAGCATCCAGGCTTTCAAAGCCCACCTGGAGAAGATGGGCAATAACAGCAGCATCAAACAGCTTCAGCAGGTGAGAGGGGCTGGGGGTCCTCACAACGGCCTCCACAAGGAGTTCTTCCTGCCTCAGTCTTGCTGCTTCAGGGAGCAAAAGAGGAATCTTTACACGGAAGGCTGAGGGACACAGTAGGGACTTGGCAGGGTTTGTTCTGCCCTGTGTGACTGCAGCAAACCCCGAGTGTCCTCTGGATGTGTGAGCTGTTCACCTGCAGCTGGGCACCCGGGGGGATTCCTGCCCCCTCTTTTCTGGGCAGAGCCATCATGCTGTGCCCAGCCACGGGTGTCCTGCCTGTCCCTGCAGGGCCCACCAGCACTGTCAGACTGCAGCTCCTGCTCTGCCACATTTCCCTTGGCAGCAGTCTGGGGCTGTTCCAGGGTGTCCCTGGAAAGGGCAGCTCCTACAACCAGGGCCTGGAGTGTATTGTGGGGCATTCCCTGCGCAGCCAGGCACAGCTTGCCAATGGCTGCAGCAGGATTTGGCCCCAGGACAGGCCTTTCCCCTTGCAGCAGGGCACAAATGAGATGCTCTCCTCACCTTGAAGTGTCGTTTCCAGAGCTTGCTGCCTGCACTAGGGGAACACAGCGGTGCCAGCTGGGTGCCACGTGCACCCCTTGCTTCCCTGGCTTTTTGCTGTGTTGCTGCACACCTGATTCTGTCAGAGGGGATGGATTAGGCTTTCTCTGCCAGCTTTTCTCTGAGGGGTGGGCTGCACAGCGTGCCATTCCGCACGCAGCAGGGCGCTGTGCACCAGAAGGTCACTGATGGGCCGTGCTGGATTCCTTGCAGGAGTGTGAGCAGCTCCAGAAGATGTACGGTGGGCACATGGACGAGAGGACGCTGGAGAAGACACAGCAGCAGCACATGTTGTACCAGCAGGAGCAGCACCACCAGATTCTTCATCAGCAGATTCAGGTAGTGCAGCCTGAGCCAGAGCTGCTGAAGGCTTAGCTCTGTTTTCCTGTGTTGCTGCAGACACAACTCATGAGCAGGTCCCGGGGGGATCGAGGGAGGGGAGTTCTGGGCTTGCTGTAGCGGGAAGGCTGAAGGATTTCAGCAGAGATGTTTGCACAGCTGCTGTGGTAGCTGTGGCAGCCAGGGCTGCAGTCAGGGACTGACACTCAGTGAATCTGGATATGTCCTGCTTCACCCAGCACTGTTTCTAAATTTACTGACTGAGACATTGACTGCAAACACTTCTTGTTTTCTTGTGGTGCCTGGTTCAGGACTGTATCCGGCCTCCCCAGCCATCTCCACCCTTGCAAGCTCCATGTGAAAACCAGCCAGCTCTGCTCACTCACCAGCTCCAGAGGTAAAGAAATGGCTTTAGGACAGCTCTGGGTTTTGCTCTTCCTGAAGCCCAGGCATGAGCAGACACACTCAGGAGAGGCCAGGCTGAGTTGGAAGTTTATGGAGTCAGAATGACACTGCCAGTTCCCAGGTGAACGTGCCTGGTCCTTTGAGCTGGATTCTCTCAGAAAGACTTTAGAATCAGAGAAATCTGATTCAGAAGCACAGACCTGCTTTGAGCAGAGGATTGACAGTCCTGCCTTTTGAGTGGCTTGAAGCTGCCACTTCAGCAGCCAGGCTCTCTCATGCTTCCTTGGGTGTCTCACACCTTGCCAGGCCCTTGGTGAGCTCAGCCTCCTTGCCCTCAGCACCCTGACTTGTGAGTGAGGGAGGCTGAGTTATGGGAAATGATGAGAGCAGGGTGTCTCACCAGGTGCAGTGAGTCAGGAGATGAGCCTGCAGTGTCCTTGTCCCCAGGTTTCTGTGGTAGCCACCAGGTCATGCAAGTGAGGTGTTTCTCAGAAGAGAAGTCAAGCTGCAAAGACCTTGGGATCCCTAGCAAGGGCTTTACAGTATTTATTTTGAACAAGACAGGCAGTGTTTGGCATCAGGTCTCACGGTTGAGGCGGCATCTTGACAAGGAGCAGGCATGGTGAGGAGGTGCTTGTTCCCCGCACAGGTTACGGATCCAGCCGTCCAGCCCACCCCCAAACCACCCCAGCAATCATCTCTTCAGGCAGCCCAACAGCAGCCCGCCCCCCGTCAGCAGCAGCGTGCTCCAGCCCCACGGTAAGCACTTCTGGGAGCTGGGCAGGGCCCTGTGATCCCATCAAACCCTGCAGGAGCAGCCTGGGGTTGCCAGGGCTCCGTTCCCACCCCAGCCCAGGCCCTGCACAGTTTGCTGATGATGTCAAAGATTCTCCATCTGGCAGCAAGAGCTGGTGTTACCAAGAGCTCAGGAGAAGCTGCCAGCTGGAATGTGCTGTCGGGTTCCTTGTCACAAGATCCTTACTTATCGCTCCCGGGGGTGGGGAGGAAGGGCTGATATTCTCAGGTTTATGCAAATCACTGTCAGCTCCGCAGAGTTTCTGTTTTGGTGCAAGGGGCTCTGGCTGTGACCTTTGCACGCTGGCACAGCATGACAGAGCACCCATATGGACATGTACCAGGCTCCCAGACTGGCCCAGAGTCACGGAATAAATCACAGCATCATAGCCTGGTTTGGGTTGGAAGGGACCTTAAAGATCATCCCTCTGCAGCCCCCTGCTACGGGCAGGGACACCTTTCACTAGAGCAGGTTAACCCAAGCCCTGTCTGGCACTTTGGGGAACGTTGCTCCCAAGGCTCGCCCTGGGCTGGCAGCGGTGCTGAGTGTCTTTGTTCCTGTAGGTGCTGCCTCCCAGTCCCAGTTCCAGGGGATGGCCTCCCACAGCAGCATCTTCCCGCAGTCGGGTAACTGTTCCCCTCCACCGGCCATGGGGCTGACGTGCCTGGCACTGCAGCAGCAGCAGTCGCAGCAGCAGCAGGTCACCATCCAAGTGCAGGAGCCCGGGGACATGGTGGGCAGCGGCCTCCTGCCCGGCGCCTCCGTGGGCGGGCAGGGCCTGGCGTCCCACGCGCGGGGCATGTCCCTGAGCCCCAGCGCCAGCCAGATCCAGATGCAGCACCGCGCCAACCTGATGGCCTCCCTCAGCTACGGCCACCGGCAGCTGTCCAAGCAGCTGAGCGCCGACAGCGCCGAGTCGCACAGGTGAGAGCCCTCCCTGCCCCTGCGGCTCCAGGCAGCCGCGGGCAGCAGGAGACCCGCTGCCCGTGCCAGCCTGCCCTGTGCTCCCTCGCCGGGAAGGGCTCGCTGAGCCACGCCAGGGCTGCTGGCCCACGTGCCTGGGGAAGCCCCTTGTGTGCAGGAGCAGCTCTGGCTCCCTCTGAGCAGCGCGGTCACTTGTGCTTCTCCTTGTCCTTGCAGTCTGAACGTGAACAGGTATCCCCCCGCCAACTACGACCAGGTGCACTTACACCCCCACCTGTTCCCGGAGCAGCCCCGCGTTTCCCCCAGCAACTACAGCCCGCCGGGAGGGGTCGGGTTCTCTGCGGCCCAGCAAGCTCTGAAGGTCCCACAGCTCGAGCAGTACCCCAGTTTCCCCCCGAACGCACATCAGCAGCAGCAGCACTACACGGCATCGGCACTACAGCAGGCACTGTTGTCCCCGACCCCGCCCGACTACAGCCGACACCAGCAGGTACCGCACATCCTCCAGGGACTGCTTTCCCCCCGGCACTCGCTCACGGGGCACACGGACATGCGGCTGCCCCAGGCAGAATTTGCACAGCTCATCAAACGGCGGCAGCAGCAGCAGCAGCAGCAAGAATTCCAAGAGTTGTTCAGGCATATGAGTCAAGGGGATGCTGGGAATATGGGCACCAGCATGGGACAGAACCTCTCGGAGCGCCAGTCGTTGTCTTTGCCTTATCAGAGTGCCGACACCTACCACCCCCAGAACAGCCCCCAACATCTCTTAAAAATCAGGGCGCAAGAATGTATGCAGCAGGTGCCTGCCTCCGTGCCGCCGCAGGGGTACGGCCACCAGCCAGCCCTGTTCCACTCGGAGAGCATGGAGGAGGACTGCGCCTGCGAGGGGAGCAGGGACAGCTTTCCCGACAGTAAGAGTTCAAACACATTGACCAAAGGTTGCCACGAGACCCCTCTGCTGGTAAACGCAGGAGGGCACGGGGACCCCGAACCTTTGCTAGGAACTGCTAATCCCGCGCAGGAGCTGGGGACGCACCAGTACAGGCACCAGCCCGCGCCCGGATTCAGGAATAAGGTGCCCAGCAGAGGTAAGGCTCCCTGCTCTGCCCGTGCGTGCCAGGCACTCACCTTCCTGCCCAGGACACCATCCCACCCGGCACACCAAGGGTTTCCTGACGTGCTCTGCATAGCACAGGATTACCCAGATTCTTTCTGGCTTTTGTGGCCTGAAGTAAATTGCAGGCACAGCCTCTGTAATAAACAGGGTTGAATAAGGAAGGAGCCCGATGGGCTGCTTCCCTTGGGAGGTTTGACCTACTTCTGCAGGCAGGTAAAGACCAGGGCCCAGCTTGCTGCCCTGTTTTCAGGGCTGCTGCCTGGTGGCCAGATTTATTCTTGTTGGTGATGTTCCCCATGCCCTGTAAACATGGGATAGGAGCAGCTCAGCTGCCAGCTCACCCCAGCTGTGGCAGTGTAGCCATTTCTTCCTGCTCTCAAGCACAGACCCTCAAGCCCAGGCGCTTCTAAAGCTCCCACAAACACACACAGCATCAGTGTTGGTCAGTGTCCTGTGGCTCCAGCAGCCTTGCAGTCTCTCTGACACTTTGGGAAGCAGCAGCAACAGCAAGATTCTATCCCTGCTTGAACTGGGAAGGGTGGGTTCTGGAGAGTGAGGTTAAACTTGCCATGAGGATCTGAAGACCATTCCTGCTCCTTGGAAGCAGCTGCACCTTTGCTCCTCTGTGGCTGCTCTGGCAGCACTCGGCCGTCAGGGAATTCCTGCCTGGGCTGTAATTACAGGCTCCTCTGCAGGAAAAACACCCTCCAAGCCCCTCACTAAGAGGGCTTTGAGCAGAGGCTGAGTGGGCAGATCAGTATTCCCTGCAGGACTCGGGGTGCTGGGCTGGAGCCACCAGCCTGCCCTTGGCACTCGGGCCCTGCTGCAGAGGAGCTGTGTCCAGGGCACAGGAGCCCAGCTTTGTTCAGGGACACAGCACGGGTTTGCTGGGAAAGTACTGGGCTGGAACAGGCTGGCTCGGAGGGCTGAGCGGGGCTGCCAAGCCCTGACCCCCCAGAGCGTGGGCGGGGGGCAGGGACAAGGCTGGGCTGTGCTGAAATCCTCCTAAATTCTGAGTTCTGTTTGCTCTCAGAGCTCTGCTTCCCTGCTGTGCTTGGAGTGGGGGAATTGTCCCAGGCTCAGCAGAGATTGGAAGCTCTGGAGGGGGGTTGGTACGAAATCACGAGTCTGAATCTTGTTACTGAAGCCTGTTAGATGGACAGTGAGGTCTGCTGAAGTCAGAAGCCAAATCTCAGCCCCCACACTGCTGTTGCAAGGACTGGTTACACAAAGGAAAAGGACTTTAGACTGCAAAGCCTTGTAAATGAGTAAAAGCAAATAGATGTTTACAAATAGGCTTGTGTAAGCCCTTCTGACAGGGCTGTTTGTAGTAAACTATGTCCTGGGATGCAACTGTTTGTACCATCTTCCCTATGGCTTCCATAACCCACTTGGACTCAGGCCTGCGCCGCTTTGGGTGCAGGCAGAGTCACCTCAGAGTTTCCCAGGTGCCTTTACCTACAGCAACTCCTACACCCCTGGGCTTCCCTGGTTTTGACCTACACCAAATCCTACATCACTCAGTTTTCCCACTGCTGCCCACACCAAATCCTACATCCCTGGCTTTTCCCACTCTTTTCCCTAGACTGTGTCATGAGGGTGCAGTTTGAGGGTGACTTCCCTCCCTGCCTCAGCTCCCAGATGTTTTCCCTGGAGCAGAGCAGTTTCCCTGTGCCTCGGGAGTGTCTGTGCTCCCCCAAGGCTGATCACAGAGCTCTGGAGGCTGCAGAGCATCTGCCAGGGATGGCAGCCGGGAACTTGAGAGCCGACCAGATCTGTTTGGGATGTGGCTGGGCTGCCTGTGAGCAGCCCTGCTCCAGTTCTGCTCCAGCGTGGCCGTCCCAGGCTGGGAGCGCTGCCCGTGGGAAACCTGCCTGGGCTGGCACGGAGGGAGCCGGGCTGGCCGTGCCAGCGTCACATGCCACGGTGACACAAAGGATGTGGGCATGAAAGGCTCTCCCCTGCAGGCCTGGGGGTGTCAATTCGGGGTGTCCATCCCTTGCTCCAGAGCAGCATCCCCAGAGGTGAAGTGCTGGCATTGGGAAGCAGCTGTTTTTCAGGCCCTGGCTCTTCCAGGCTGAGGGAACTCGTCACCCGCAGCACAGGGACTGGGACTGGGGCTGTTGGAGCAGCAGGCTGCTGGCCCCAACCACTGTTCCCACAGTTGGAGCAGCATCCCAAGCAGTGTGTGGGTGGCACTGATCCGCTAACATCTGTTACCTCATGTTTTCCTTCTCGCTTTTCCGGGAAAGCTGACTGTTAACCGCACGTAACCCCACGGTTGTGCAAAGGCAGGGGGAGGCTGCACCTCTGAGTGCCCTGGGACAGGGCTCCAGCAGGAATGCCACATTCCTGATGGAGGGAGAGCCTGGGGAGCAGCGTGCTGGCTGTGCTGTCCATGTGCTGGCTGTGAGCAGCGTGGAGACCACATGGGATGGGGTCTCACTTGCATTCTGCTAGATTGTGGACAGATTTTGGGACTGCTCTGTGCAGGGGCAAGCATGATCCTTGTGGGTGCACATGGGGGTGTTCCAGGGTCCTGTGAGATCCCTCCAGGGAGTGGTTTTGTGGCAGTTGCAGTGCCAGCTGGGCTGTGCAGTGTCCCAGCACAGCAGGACATCACTTCCCACTGGCCAAAGCCCTGGGAAAGCTGTGGCTTTGTGAGGGATGAACCTCAGCTGTGTCACCTCGGGGCAGCTCCCCGGCGCTCGCGGCCGCGTCGGGCGTTTGTGCTCGGCAGGGTCCGAGCTCAGCGAGCTCAGCCCTGGTGACAGCTCCTCCATGGCTCAGGACTTTATCCAAAACATCGTGTACTTGATGATGAGAGGCTTTGCCTGATAGGAATGTGGCCTTTGCCCTCAGTCACAAGAGCTTGCAGTGCAGATGGACTTTGCCAGGCAGAGCACTCGTGTGCTCCCGCAGCCAGATTGTGGGAGGGCAGGGAGAAGTCATCTGATAAAAGTGAAGATCCTGGCCAGCTCTTCCAGCAGGATTATGTTGCTTACAATTGCCAAGGGGCCCTGCTGGAGCATCCCGTGTTGGAGGCTCCCCCAGCTCTTGTGTAACGATGTGGGGGTCGAGCTCAGGCTCGAGGGGAAGGCAGAAGTGGGAAAGGGTCTGGTTCCTCTGCTCCTGCCCCAGTGCCTCCAGCTTAAGGCTGTTTTGTAGATCTGATGGAAGGCAGCTAGCATTGGGATCGTTTGGGATATTGAAGCTGGAGGGAGAAGCCTGTGTGAGTGCAGCCGGGGGTCCTGTCCCTGCTCTGCCAGCAAGGAGCATTTGTGTGTGCCATCAGGTCTCAGTTCTGCAGTGGCACAGGTGGCTGCAGGTTCCTTGTACTAACCTGTCCCTTTTCTGTCCTGTCTGGCTCTCAAGAGTCCATCGTAGGGAACTGCATGGACAGGAGCTCCCCCGGCCAAGCCATGCAGGTGCCTGACCACAACGGCCTGGGCTACCCCGTGCGCCCCTCGTCCAGCGAGCACCCGCGGCCCCGCAGCCTGCAGAGACATCACACCATCCAGAACAGCGACGATGCCTACGTAGGTGCCTCTGCCTGCCAGCTCCTGCTCTGACACAGCCTGGCCTGGCTGTGCCACCCAGGGCTCTGCAGGCACACCCAGCCTGGCTGTGGAGGAGCTGGCTGTGGTAGCCCAGACCTCAGTGCTCTGCGCCCTCGGGGGTTTGGGGTGCTGGGAAGTGTCCTGCCCAAATCTTGATGTGTGCCTTGCTACAGCTCCCTTCTGCTGTAGATGTCAGCTTCACTGGTTCAGTGGTGCCCAGTGACAGGATGAGGAGCAATGACCAGAAACTAAATCACAAGTTCCACCTCAGCATTAGGAAGGATTTCTTTCCATGGAGGGTGGCAGAGCACTGGAACAGCTGCCCAGGGTAGGGCCTGGAGTCTCCCTCTCTGGAGACATCTGAAAACCACCCAGATGTGTTTCTCTGTCACCTGCTCCCGGTGTCCCTGCTTGGCAGGGCTTTGTGCTGGATGATCTCCTGATCTCCCTCCCACCCCCAGCTATGCTGTGATTCTGTTAGTTCAGAGGGATTTGGACCATTCAGTGCCGTTCTTGTCTTTCCAAAGCCTTGCTGAAGGTTTGCAGAGGCTCTCTGGGTAGATGGGGAGCAGCGGGATCCTGAGCTCCCCCTGAGCGTGTCCTGCTGCCTCCACAGGTGCAGCTGGATAACTTGCCTGGAATGAGTTTGATGGCAGGAAAAGCCCTCAGCTCTGCTCGGATGTCGGACGCCGTGCTCAGCCAGTCGTCGCTGATGGCCAGTCAGCAGCTGCGCGACAGGGACGGCGAGGGTGAGCCCGGGGCTGCCACGGGGCAGGGCTGGGGGCAGCTCCTCTGGAGCTGAGTCACAGCCACAGGTGCTCAGGCACCTCTTCACCCTTCCAGAATGCGGGGAGAGCTTGGAAGGTCAGGAGCACGCGAACCTGGGCGATGGCAGCCAGCACCTCAACACCTCCTGCTACCCCTCCACGTGTATCACGGACGTCCTGCTGAGCTACAAGCACCCGGAGGTGCCCTTTGGGATGGAGCAGGCAGGGGTGTAACCAGGAGGGAGTGAGTATCCCTGTGTCCTTCTCTCGCCACACCACACCACACCTGGGGCCTCACTCCCATGGGTCACCTTCCCTGCTCTTGGCTCCGGTGCTGGGGCTGGGACCATCCGCTCAGAGATCCTGTGCTGAAGCTGTTTGCTGTCCCTCCTTCCAGGCTGGTGTTGCACTCAGACCCCTCTGCATGGCAGGGTCTCTCTCCTGGGGCAGGGTCAGGAATGGCCTGGGAATGCTAGAGGGCTGTGGAAGGAAATGTGCCATTGTGGAGTCCCCTAACACCTGTCTTTTCTCTCTCTCGCAGGGTTTGTGTACAGCTTTGAAATGAAAAGGTCCATTTTAAACCAACAGTATCTAGCAGCATTGCGCCAAATTGCCGTAGTATTTCTGACTAACTGGAATACCATGGCCCCTTTCCTCATCCTCACTTCATCCAGTGTGTCGTTCCTTTGGGTTCTTTATTTCTGCCACACTTGCCTGTAACTCCAGCTACACCCAGAGCCCCGAGCCCCACACGGAGGATCGGCCTGGGCTGGGGCTGCTCTGGGGGCTGGCCCTGCCCGGGGCCCCACGCCGGGCTGAGCGTCCCTGGAGCCTGCCCTGAGCAGGTCTGGGGGGCTGGAGCTGCTCCTGGACGGAGGCCACGCTCTCCTTCCACCCTGTCCCTGTGCCCGGGGGGCTCCGGGCCTGCCAGTGCCTCCCCACCCCGGTGCAATCCACTTCTTGTCTCACCTCTGTCTGCTCTGTTCCCTCTCGTGTGTCGGGGTGCTGACAGCATCACCCCTGCCCTGCCCTTCCTCCCCTTTTCTTTCCAAATCTGCCACGTCTTGGGGTTTTTTCTTTTCCTGGCTAATATAGGGCAGACGGATTTTTCTTTGTTTCCTTCGCTTTTCCTCCTGATCACGTAGGAATTGTTTTTATTTTTATTTTTTTTTGGTAAATGTTGTTTTATTATTATTGTTATTAATAAAAGGCAAAAGGAATTTCTGTTTGAGAGAAATTTTTAACTAGATTCTGTTCTATATGAATTGTGACTTGCACCTTTTGTTCAAAGTATTTTATTTCTTTTAATGACATTGTACTTGTGACTGGTTTTCTCTCGTGCCAGTGGCGACAGTGGTAATTCTCCTTATACAGTCGGGACATGCAGAGGTCTCTTCTTTGTCCCTTTTCCATCCTTTCCGTGGTGGATGGAGCGGGAGGCCCCCCCGGCTGGGGCTCAGGAGCACGCGGTGTCACCCTTGCCTTTGGGACTCGACGAGCTCCAGCTCACATCCTCCTTCTCAGCGACATTTTTTCCGGAATATTTTTTAAAACTAAAGGAAACACCGACCCAGCCCTCCTGACTTTGCACAGAAGGAAGTGTGAAACCAGCACGGCAGAGGTGACTTTGCTGTCCTTACCCCGTGCCTCTTCCCGGCCTCCCCTTCTCCGGGAGAAGGACGCTGAGGGCTCTGCGATCCCGGGATCGGAGAGGAGGGACTCCGCAGCCTCCGGGATGGAGCGGGGAGGCTGGGAAGCGCTGAAAGCCTTTTGCTCTGTCCCTTGGGTTCATTTTCCTTTTGTTTACATGACACTGTATCCTGGGAGAGTCGCCGGGCCCCCCCCAGCAGCAGCTGCCCCGCGGGGCCGCGTCACCGTGCCATCCGCAGTATCACACTTTTTTTATCATGGCTTTGTATTGTAGTAATCAATACGCGCAGTATATGTTGAATGTATATTAATATACTTTGCTATTATTTCTGTTTTTTGGAAATGTCAGAAGTATTTTTTTTTTTCTTCCTCATTTATGTTGGACTAAAAACGAACAGGAAAAAAAAAATTTTCAGTAAATCTTCAGTCCATTTTTTGTGGGTCACTTGCAACTAGTCAATTAGTTGGACAGTGGGATCATAACAAATAAAACCATGATTATGATCTTCCCTGGGCTCTTGTTTGCCTTGTTGCTCAACACCAAAGGTCAAGGGGCGGCCGCTGCTGTGTCCCATCCATCCCTTTCCCGGGCTCCGGCAGCCCCTGGCTGGGTTTCCCAAAGCCCCCCGGCCCTGGCAGCCCCTGCAGCTGCAGCCCGGCAGTGCTGCAGATCAGAGCCCGCCCGGGCACTGCTGCACTGGGGCTTTTCCAGCCTTGGGCAGGGTCTGGGAGGCGCAGGGAGCTGTGCCTGTGCCCGCAGCACCTGCAGCACCTGCGGTGGCAGCTCCCCTGCGATGCCCAGCGGGCTGGCACGAGCTGCAGGGACGGTGCCACCCAGAACCAGGAGCATCACTGCTCTGTGGCAGCTCCCCCTGGCATTGCCAGCCCTGCACACCCCCTGCAGCCCCTCTGGGGACGCGGCCTCTCTCTCCCTGTCCCCTCTCTCCCCTTGCCAGGCTGGGCTCAGCCCTGTGCACCCCTGGACTGGTGACAATTGCACCCGGGGTTGGCTCGGGGTTTTGGGGCGGCCGTGCCAGTGCTGGTGCTGCTCTGAGCTGAGCCTTGCCTTGCCCAGGTCCCCGGCGAGGGCTGGCGTGGGCGCAGCTCCCCGGGCCTCTGAGCTGGGGGCACAGCGGGCAGAGGGGGTGGCGTGAGCGGCCCCGTGAAGGACGGGGCACAGACCCGCGGCCCGAGCGAGGGGTCCGGGTACGGCAGGCCAAATCCCTGCGGGAATAAACCTTGTCCCCGGGCCGGCGGCCAATCCCTGGGGGCTGCGAGGGGCCCCGGCAAGGCCAGCGGGAATCTGGGTCACCGGGAGCGTAAACAGCTCCTTGGCCGGCGAGGCGCGTCCCGCGGGGAGCTCCTGTTTGCTCGCCACCCCTGCCAAGCCCGGCTCCGCGGCGATGCTGCGCGATCCTTGAACCCTGCGGCCACACCGCCCGCCGGGAGCGCGGCCCGGCCGCCGCTGGCTTATCTCCGCGGAACTGCCCCTCCGGCATAAATAGCGGCGGCGGAGCCCGGCCGCTCAGACGGGACGAGCAGCAGCGGTGGAGAGAGCCGGTAAGAGCCCGGGCTGCTCGGCGGGAGCGCCGGAGCCGGGCCGGGCTCAGCCCCGCCGGGGCTGGCTCTGCCGGGGCTCCCCGCGCCCAACTCTCTCGCTCTGCCCGCAGGTCCAGCCAAGATGAGAGCCGCGGTGTTGACCCTCGCCCTGCTCTGCCTGGCGGGTAGGTCCGGCCGGGAGGGATGCAGCAGCGCGGGCGGGATGGGGACGCGGGCGCTGCTGGAAGCCGCCGCTTTCCGAGGCGCTTCGCGAGCCGCGCTGCAGCCGAGGGGCTCCCGGGCCCCTCCCGGCGGGGCTGGAGCCGTCCCCGGGCGGCGTGTCCTGAGCAAACCCGGCGCTCCCCGCAGGCACCCAGGCCCGCTCCTTCTGGCAGCACGATGATCCCCAGGCACCCCTGGATCGCCTCAAGGACATGGTCGATGTGTACCTGGAGACAGTGAAGGCCAGCGGCAAGGAAGCCATTGCCCAGTTCGAGGCCTCCACCGTGGGCAAACAGCTGGAGTAAGTGGGAGGTGTGCGGCGGGGGGCTGGCGGGGGGCCCCGGGCACCGAGCGTGACCTCCCTCCCTCCCTCCCGTCCCGCAGCCTGAAGCTGGGCGAGAACCTCGACACGCTGGGCGCAGCCGCCGCCAAGCTGAAAGAGGACATGGCCCCCTACTACAAAGAGGTGCGGGAGATGTGGCTGAAAGACACCGAGTCCCTGCGCGCCGAGCTGACCAAGGACATGGAGGAGGTGAAGGAGAAGATCAAGCCCTTCCTGGACCAGTTCGCTGCCAAGTGGACGGAGGATCTGGAGCAGTACCGCCAGCGCCTGGCACCCCTCGCCCAGGAGCTGAAGGAGCTCAGCAAGCAGAAGGTGGAGCTGCTGCAGCAGAAGCTGACCCCGGTGGCCGAGGAGGCGCGGGACCGTCTGCGCGGGCACGTCGAGGAGCTGCGCAAGAACGTGGCGCCCTTCAGCGATGAGCTGCGGCAGAAACTGAGCCAGAAGCTGGAGGAGATCCGCGAGAAGGGCATCCCCCAGGCCGCTGAATACCAGGCCAAGCTGGTGGAGCAGCTCAGCAACCTGCGCGAGAAGATAACGCCCCTGGTGCAGGACTTCAAGGAGCGCCTCACCCCCTACACCGACACCCTCAAGGCCCGTTTCCTCAGCATGCTGGAGGAGCTCCAGAAGACCGTGGCCTGAGCTGCCGGCCGGCGCGGCCAGGGACTGACCCCAGCCCCGCTCCGCGGCCGCCCCGGGCGCTCCCTGCCCTGCCCCGGGCACCTCTCCTCAGGGGGCTCTGGGGACGGGCTGCAGGAGCCCCAGGCCGGCCCGGCCCTGGGGTGCCCTCCCCGGAGACCCCCTCTTCCCCTAGAATTGCCTCCCCACCCCGGCGTCGCTCTCAGCTTTGCCTCCCTTTTGAGAAATAAACTTGACTTAAGTTATTGGAGCTCGCTCAGTCTTTGCAGTGGATGCTGGAGGGGGCAAGGGGTGCTCTGAGCTGGGGGTACTGGGGACCAGAGGGAGTGGGGACCCAAGGGAGCTGGTGAGGGGTGCCCTGGGCTCGCCGAGTCCAGCTCTGCCCGAGGTGCAGCCGTGCTCAGCCCCACACAGGGCGCTGGGGTATGGTGGCACTGAATTTGCAGGAGTTTTTGGAAACAAGCACTCGGCTGCTGTCACCCCGAGCACCCCAACACGGCCGTGTGTACCCCAGTGCTCGCGTCCGCCCCAGCCCGGTCCCCCTGCGGGTCACACTCCTCCCTGCCAGCCCCCAGAGACGGCACCGCAGCGTTTGCCTCAGCCCTGCTTTATTGAGAGCACCACGACAGCGGGGGGGAGCCGGGGGGTCCCCGGCCCCGACAGACCCCGAGCAGCCCCCGGTGAGGCTACGCGGCCGGAGTCTTCTTCAGCAGCTCCGCCAGCTGCTCCTTCAGCCACGCCAGCCGCTGCTTCGCCAGCTCCGCGTTGTCCGACAGCCACTGCCTGCAGGGGAGGGAGGGGAGGGAGGGCAGGGGAGGGGAGGGGAGGGGGTCAGCGCGGGGCCCTGGCCGGGCTCCCCGGCGGCACCGGGGGCAGGGACGGGCACAGGGAGGGGCACAGGGACAGGGACGGGGCTGGCGGGGTTCGGGAGCACCTGGCCTGCTTTGCCGCCTCCGACTCCCGCACCCTGCTGAAGGCGTCCTTGGCCATGGCCGTGGCTTTCTGGGTCAGCTCCTGCACCTTCTGCACCAGCGCCTTCGGCTCCTCGGGCGAGTCGGCCCCTGCGAGCACGAGCCTGGTGGCACTGGGGGCACGGGGTCCCGCGGCTGTGCCCCCCGCGTGTGCCCCCAGCACCCCGAGCCCTCCTGCGCAGCCCCCGGCCCTTACTTGCTCCCACCGCCAGGACGGCCGTGCAGGCGAGCAGGAACAGCAGCGACGCCTTCATGGCTGGGGAGAGAGCGGACCGCGCGATGTGGGGCAGCAGGGGGGCACGGGGGTCCCGTGCCCGCCCCCCGCCCCGCGCTGCCCTCGCCAGGGGTGTCCCCGCTCACCTGTGCCGGGCTCACCTGTGCCTATGGCGCGGGGGCAGCCCCGGCTCCCTCTTTATACCCTCCCGACGGCCGCGCTGGGGGATTCGTGCAAAGGTCGGGGCAGGGCGGGGGGGGCTGCAGGGGCGCCGCGTCCGGCCAGGAGTTGGGAAATCCCGGGGGGACGGAGCCCGCCGGGGGGACGGAGCCTGCCGGGGGGACGGAGCCCGCCGGGGGGACGGAGCCGCCGGGGCCCCGCGTGTCTCTGCGTGTGCGCACGGAGCTGCGCGGCCGCGGGCACACGCGTGTGCGCAGCCAGCGCGCTGCCCGCGGAGGGGACAGCCCGGGCACGCACGGCACAAGGGTGACATCCAGCGGCCCTGTCCCCGGGCACGCCGCCCTCGGGCACCGCGAAGCTCTTCGGACCTTGTCACTGCCGCTGCCTGCCCGGTCCCTGCCCCTGCCCGCCGTGCCCTTTGCCCGCAGTGACACATCGCCGCTGTCCCCGGGCCGGGGACACGCACGGGTCCCAGCTGCATCCCCAGCTGCACTGCCCTGCAGCGTCCTGGCCCCTTCCTGTGCCAGGCCTTCCTCCAGGAGCGATGCCATCGTGCCTGCACAGCCTCGTGTGTCCCCCTGGGCCCTTGTCCTGCCCCCGAGCCCGTGTCCTGCCCCGCTGCCCAGCCCAGCCGTGGCAGAGCTGGGAGGGCCCTGCAGCATCCCCAGCCCCGTGTCCTGTCGCGCTGCCCCCATCCCACACCCCCGGCGCTGCCCTGCCAGCACTGACAGAGCCACTGCTGCAGCCACAGAGCACTCAGGTGTTATAGGTAAAAATGATCAAGCTGAATTGAATAATTAATAAAATAGATTTTTATTTCGCGACTGAGATGGCCACAATCAAAAGGTCAGTGCCGAGCCCAGGGATCTTCGGGGAGTTACTGGAATTTGGCATTGAGGTGAGTTTTCCTGATAGCTCTGGCTATCTCAATCCGAGATATTTATCGAACATTCATCATCTGGGTCCCCATCTCCTTGCGAGCCACATTTATTCGCTTGCAAATTAGATCCTTTTCTCCCTGCTGCCAGCTGGGTTTCGAAATGCCGTGAAGCAATCTTCGTCTTCCCGGCCTGAGTGCTTAAGAGAACTTACAGGAATGTTTCTAATACATTTCATATGTCTCTTTCTCATATGCCCGAATTATTCAAAATACACGTAACAGAGGTGTCCCCTCAGCCCGGGTCCCTGTCCCCAGGAGGGGCTCGGCGTGTCCCGGGTACCCCCACCCCGTGTGTCCCTGTCACACCCTGGGGGCTGGCGGGGCCGCGGGTGATGTCAGGCGCCTCCACGTTGTGATCGTGCTAAAGTCCAAGCCCTTGCTGTGTCACAGCCTGCGTGGAAGCTGCAGGAGCGCTCGGGCTGCATAAATAGTGCTGGGAGCTGCCGGCTCGGCAGGTACCGCGGCACTGGCAGCACAGGTGAGCGGCTGCAGGCGCTGGAGGGAGCCGGGAGGGAACCGGGAGGGAGCCGGGAGGGAGCCGGGTCTCCCTGGCCTTTGGCTGGGGGCTGCTGGTCCCTGCGGCTTCCTTCACCTCTCTGTGCTCCCGCAGGAGTCCCCAGCACCCAGGATGGCGCCCAAGGCGGCCGCCCTTGTCCTGGTTCTCCTTGCGATCTCAGGTGAGGTGGGGTCTCGGTGAGGTGGGGCGAGGCTGCCCGGTGCCAGCGGGGTGCTGCGGCCCGGGGCGGTGACGGGAACGTCCCCGCTGTCCCTGGGGACCGGGACGGTGCGAGCGCTGACCCCAGCACCCCCTGCAGGCTCGCGGGCCGATGTGAAGCCTGACGAGGTGGCCAGCGTGATCTGGAAGTACTTCACGGAGCTGGGCAGCAATGCCAAGGACACGGTGGACCAGCTGCAGCAGACGGAGATCAGCAAGCAGCTCAAGTGAGTGCAGCCGCGGGCCGGGGGCCGGGCAGGGCGCGGGGTGCGGGCACACGGGCCCTGACCGTGTCCCCTGTCCCCAGCACCCTGCTGAGGGGCAACCTGCAGAGCGTCAGCGCCTACGCCGAGGACCTGCAGGAGCGCCTGGTGCCCTTCGCCACCGAGCTGCAGGCGCGGCTGGCGCAGGACTCGCAGCGGCTGAAGGAGCAGATCCGGCGGGAGCTGCAGGAGCTGCAGGCCAAGCTGGCGCCCTACGCCGACGAGGTGCACCAGCAGATCGGCTCCAACATCCGGCAGCTGCAGGCCAGGATGAGCCCGTACGCCGAGGAGCTGCGCTCGCAGGTGGACCGCAGCGCCGGGGAGCTGCAGCGGGCGCTGGAGCCCTACGCGGCCGAGCTGCGGGAGCGCCTGCAGGACAACGCCGACAGCATCCAGGCCTCGCTGAGCCCCTACGCCGACCGGCTGCAGCAGCAGATCGACGGCGGCGTGGAGAGCGTCAAGCAGCGGCTGTCGCCCGTGGCGGACGAGCTGAAGGCGCAGGTGGAGCAGAGCGTGGCCGAGCTGCGGCGCGGGCTCAGCCCCTACGCGCAGGAGGTGCAGGACGGCCTCAACCGGCAGCTGGAGAGCCTGAGCGCGCAGATGGAGCGGGCGGCCGAGGAGCTGCGCGCCCGCCTGGCCGCCAGCTCCGAGGAGCTGCGGGCGCAGCTGAGCCCGCTGGCGCGGGAGCTGCGCGAAGCGGCGAGCGGCGACGCCGAGAGCCTGCGGCAGCGCCTGGCGCCCCTGGCCCAGCAGCTGGAGCAGCGCGTGGGGCACACGCTGGAGACCTTCCGGCAGCAGGCGGCTCCCTTCGGAGAGGCCTTCGGCAAGCAGCTGGTGCAGCGGCTGGAGGAGATGCGCGGCAAGCTGGACTCGGGCGCCGCCGGCGTGGAGGATCACCTGGAGCTGCTGGAGAAGGAGGTGCGGGAGAAGGTGGCTGCTTTCCTCAGCACCGCCGCGCCCCCGCAGGATTAAACCACCCCGCCCGGGCGTCCACACACATTCCAAGCGCTGCTGGGTGCTTCCAGGGGTAGAAATAAATCTTGTGATGCACGTGCTGGTCCGTGTCCTTGCTTCCCGCAGCACCCCGCTGTCCGTCCTACCTCGGGATGGGACACCTGGGGCACCCCCAGCTGCTCTGGGGGGGAGCATCACCCCGAATGGAGCAGAGGTGGGGTCGGTGGGTGGGAGGTCTCTGTGGAGGCTGCAGGTGGTGGCAGCCAGGTGAGCCCATGGGTGAGCGCAGGGCCGCGGCCGCGCTGTCGGGGGCACGCAGAGGGGCAGAGCCCCGGGAGCGGCCGAACGGTGGGGCAGCAGCTGCCACGCGGGGCGGGGAGCCGCGGGTGGGCGACAGGCAGAGCGCAGCGGGGCTGGGGCAGCGGGAAGGGGACTGAGGCTCTGCTACCGGGCGGGGACGAGGCGAGCCCGGCACGGGCAGCGCTGCCTGGAGCCGCCTCACGTGTCGGGCCGGGCGAGAACCGTGCGGACTTTGGTGCCGGAGCAGCGGGGCCGACTGCGCGGCGTTTCACCCCGGCAGCGCCGGACTTCGCCCCGCTGCCCGGGTGCATTCCCGGGAAAACCACCGCGCAAAGAGCGGGACACCGGCGCGGCGGGCCGGGCGCTCCGCGGAGGGAGAAGGTGCGAGCCCGACCCGCAGCGCCCGAGCCGGGCTCGCCCTCCCGCACCCACCGCGGGGCTCCGCGCTCCCTTTCCGTCCCGACAGAGCTGCACCGCTGTCCCCGTCCCGCCACCCCGGCAGCTCATCCCGCATTCCCTGCGGGATGCCGAGACCGGCCAGGGCCAGGGCCAGCCCCGTCCCCCGAGCCCGGGGGGCAGCGGGGATCATTGACCGGCCCCCAGGTCACCTCCCCGGACCTCCACGTTGTGTTTACACGGAGTGAGGTCCAAAAAGCTTTCCCGTACCAAAGCCGCCTTATCGCCCTCCTCGGCCGCCCCCCAGCCGATATAAGGGCGGCCACCGGGCGGGAGGCGACCAGAGCCAGGTGAGGGGCGGGGGGCTCTGCGGGCCGGCGGAGCTGGGTGCGACTGCAGGCAGCGTGTCGGGGACCCCCAGGTGTTATGGGGAACCCCAGGCGTTCTTAGGGGAGCTGCGGGTGTCAAAGGCAGCGAGGTCCCGGCAGGGAGCAGCGCGGGGGCGTGCAGGGGAGCACCGCCCGCGGTGAGCGCTCGGACGGCTCCTCTCCGCTCTCCCGCAGCCCCACCATGCTGCCGAGGGCCGCGCTGCTCCTCTGGCTGCTGGCCGCCTGCCCGGGCGGCCGCGGGCCCGGCCGGGCGGCAGCGCAAGCCCCGCTCCCGGCCGCGGTGCCCGCGGGCAAGGCGGCGCAGGGAGGGCTCCGGGAGCACCGGAGCCAGCTGACCGGGGACAAGGACAGCCGGGAGCACGGCAAGCTGGGCAGGGACACGATGTGAGTGCTGCCCGCGGGTCCCGGCCCTGCCCTCCCGGGGCAGCAGGGCCGTCCCCCCGGGGGCCGGGAATAACCGGGGGGGCCGGGCCCCCAAGGGGCCGCGGCCACTCGGGGCTCCCTGGGTGACTCTCCGCAGGAGCCTGAAGGAAAGCACGCAGGATGGGGTCAGCCACACGGGGGGCCTCCTGCAGAAGCTGTCGCCGCTGCGGCCGCACGAGGACTCGGCCGGCCTGCGCAAGGCCATCCGCAGGGAGCTGGACGGCCTGCGCCTCAAGCTGGCCCCGTACGTGGACGAGGCGCAGCAGCAGGTCGGGAAGCAGCTGGAGGAGCTGCGGCAGCGGCTGCGGCCGCTGGCCGAGGAGCTGCTGGAGGAGGTGTCGCTGAGGGCCCGCGAGCTGCGCCGCCGCCTGCTGCCCGACGGCGCCGAGGAGCTGCAGCGCTTCCTGGCTCGCTACGGCGACGAGATCGCCCTGCACACCGAGCAGGCGAAGGACATCTTCCAGCCCCACGCCCAGCGGCTGCTGAGCGAGATCCGGCGCAACGTGCGGCAGCTGCACCGCGGCGTGGCCCCGCACGCCCGCGCCGGCCCCGAGCAGCTCGGCCGCCACATCCAGGAGCTGTCGGCCGAGCTGACCCGCGGCGCGCGGGACCTGCACCGGCGGATCCAGCGGAACCTGGAGCAGCTGCAGGCCAAGCTGAGCCCGCGGCCCGGCGGGCTCGGGGGCCGCTCCCGGGAGGCGCTGGCGCGGGAGGTGCAGCGGCGCGTGGAGGAGTTCCGGCGGGACACGTACGCGCAGATCCAGGCCTTCGCCCGCGTGCTCGACCGGGAGACCGAGGAGATGCGGCTGAAGCTCAGCGCCCGCCCGGAGCCGCCCGAGGAGCCGCTGGACGCGGCGCCATCCCTGGAGGATCTGCGCGCCCGGCTGGACGCGCTGTGGAGGGACCTGGCGCTGAGCCTGAGCGAGCGCGGCGGGGACGGTCCCGGGGGTCCCGGGGACGGTCCCGGAGGTCGCGGGGGTCACGGGGAGGACCCCTGGGAGGGTCCCGGGGAGGGTCCCGGGGGTCTCAGGGGGGGTCCCGGGGAGGGTCCCGGGGGTCTCAGGGGGGGTCCCGGTGGTGATCCTGGGGCGGGTCCCGGGGCGGGTCCCGAGGGGGGTCCCGGGTATCCCGGGGCGGGTCCCGGGAGTTCCGGGGGTCCCGGGGCGGGCCCGGGGCCGCTCCGGCGCTGAACGCGAATAAAGGCGCCGCCATCGCGGCCCGCGCGCGTCACATGATCCGCCCGCGCCACGTGACCCGCGCGTCATCGCCGCGCGCCGCCGCCATCATGTCGGCGCTGGGGGCGCTGGAGGCCGCGGCCCCGGCGGGGGCAGGGGCGGCCGGGGCGGCTCTGTTCCGGCCCCTCAGCGCCGAGGACGGCGAGCAGCAGCCGGCAGAGATCGAGTCCCTCTGCATGAACTGCTTCCGCAACGTGAGGGGCCCCGCGCAGCGCCGGCCCGCGGGGCCCGGCTCCCTGGGGCTCCCTGGGGCTCCGTGGGGCTCAGGGGACGCGCGGCTGTGGGGGCCGCGCTCGGGGGGCTCCTGTGGCCGTGGGGAGCAGCGGGCAGGGCCGTGAGGGCGGTGGGGTGAGAGCGAGGAAGGATTTGCCGGGGGCTGCAGCTGCTCTCGGAGTAGGGGCAGGCAGGGGTCGGGAGGCGGTTGGGGGACAGGCGGGGTGGCACAAGGACCTGCCAGGGTCCCGGGCCGTGCCCCGGGCTCGGGTTCCCACCAGGCCCCTCGCTCTCGCTGCCGCAGGGAGTGACACGGCTGCTGCTCACCAGGATCCCCTTTTTCAAAGAGATCATCGTCAGCTCCTTCTCGTGCCCCAGCTGCTCCTGGTCCAACACGGAGATCCAGGCAGCGGGCAGGATCCAGGAGCAGGGCGTGCGCTACACCCTGGCTGTCAGCTCCCGCCAGGTGGGCACTGCCCCCTGGCCTGTGCAGCCTTTTGGGGGGCTGGGGCAGCACTGGCTGTGACGCCTGCACCCCAGGGAGCCTCAGCCTGTCCCTGCCCATGTGCAGGACATGAACAGGGAGGTGGTGAAGACTGAGAGTGCCTCGGTCCGGATCCCAGAGCTGGACTTCGAGATCCCGGCCTTCAGCCAGAAGGGAGGTGGGTGAGCAGGGCCGGTCCTGGGGCACCCAGGATTTGTCCATGCTGTCCTCACCTCTGTGTCTGGCCCTGCCCAGTGCTCACCACCATCGAGGGCATCATTGACAGAGCGGTGGCAGGCCTGGAGCAGGACCAGCCCGCCCGCAGGGTAAGGGGAAATGGGGCTGGGATTCCATCCCCTGCACGCTGGAGCCACACAGGGCTGCTGGGCAGGGCTCCGGGGCTGTGCTTTGTGCCACGGTCACTCCTGTCAGCAGCTCTGGGCTGCCCTGCAGCAGCTGAGCCCCACCTTGGGGCTCTGAGATTCCATCTCCTCTTCCAGGCGACAGACACAGAGGTGGCAAGGAAGATCGACGAGTTCATCGGTAAACTGAGGCAGCTGAAGGAAGTGCGGTCCCCCTTCACCTTTGTGAGTGCTGGCAGCAGGGCAGCCCTGGCAGGATGGGGGCTGCAGGGCGGCTCCCTCAGGCCCCCCCATCCCGCAGGTCCTGGACGATCCCTCCGGGAACAGCTTCGTGGAGAACCCGCGGGCACCGCACAGGGACGAGGCCCTGCTGGTCGCTCACTACAGGAGGAGCCCCCAGCAGTGCGCCCTGCTGGGCCTGCAGGTGAGCGGGACAGCCCCTGCCCCCGGGCCCCGGGGCAGGGAGCAGGAGTGAGCGCTGTCCTTGTAGGGAGAGGAGGCCGACGCCAAGCCACCGGACGCTGCCGAGGACCTGAGGGACGAGGTGGGTGCTGCTGCGGGGCTCAGGGACCCCCGGGCCAGCTGCCCCGGGCTCCTGGCACACCATGGCTGCCCCTTCCCTGCACCAGGTGCTGCAGTTCAACACCAACTGCCCCGAGTGCAATGCCCCGGCCAGCACCAACATGAAGTTAGTGCGTATCCTTGGAGGCTGGGCACGGGCTGCGTGGTTTGGGCTCTCCCTGCTGCACCCCGGGCCTGAAGCAGCTCTCAGGTGGGGCCTGTGGGGCTGCAGAGCTGTCTCAGGGCCTCTCACAGCTCCCCAGCGGGGTCCTGCCCTCCCCTGGCTGCTGCTTTGATGTTTGCCTTGACTCCTGCTCCAGAAATCCCTCACTTCAAGGAAGTGATCATCATGGCCACCAACTGTGACTCCTGCGGGCACAGGACCAACGAGGTGAGCCGGGCAGGGGGCAGGGAGCGCTGCTCTGTGCCTTTGTCCCTGGGGCACTGCCCCTGGGGGCATTCCAGGAGGGAGGCTGCTGTCCCAGCTTTGGACTGGCCTCTGGGATGGGCCTTGCTGAGGCCCTGGGTGTGAGCTCACTGCAGGTGTTCCCTGCAGGTGAAGTCTGGAGGGGCCATCGAGCCGCAGGGCACCAGGATCACCCTCAGGATTACGGACCCTTCCGACATGAGCAGGGACATCCTGAAGGTGCGGTGCCAAGGATCCCTGCGCTGTCCTCCCGTGGGCTCTCGGGGCTCTGGGGGGCCCAGCCCTCGCTGCGTGGGCTCACAGGGGGCTCACCTTCACAGTCAGAGACGTGCAGCGTGGAGATCCCCGAGCTGGAGTTCGAGCTGGGCATGGGAGCGCTGGGGGGGAAGTTCACCACGCTGGAGGGGCTGCTGAAGGACATCCGTGAGCTGGTGAGGGCTCCTGGGCTGGCCGGGGGGCTCAGCCCCTCCCTGTGCCTGTGGCTGGGGGGTTGGCTGCCCCATGGCTGCCTCTCCTGCCCTCGCAGGTGGAGAAGAACCCCTTCACGCTGGGGGACAGCTCCACGGCCAGCAGGACGGGGAAGCTGCAGGAGTTCCTTGGGAAGCTGCAGGAGGTGAGTTCACTCCGGGTTTCCCATGCTCTGCGCTGCTGCCGGCGGTGCTGCAGGATGGGAGAGGAGCCTTAACGGGACGTGCTGTGTTCCTGCAGATCACCGAGGGGAAGGCCCAGGCTCACTTCATCATGGATGACCCCGCAGGCAACAGTTACCTGCAGGTACAGCGCCGTGCCCTTGGGCTGGGCGGGCTGGGGGGTTGATGTCCCCGGCACGTGCTGGCAGCGGGGCTCCCCTTGGAGCTCCGGGCACCGGCAGGAAGCCCTGCCGGCTCCGTGGGTGCCGGTGCCCGCGGGCAGAGCGCAGCGCAGGAGCCCTGCCCCGTCCCCACAGAACGTGTACGCCCCAGAGGAGGACCCGGAGCTGCACGTGCAGCGCTACCAGCGCACCTTCCAGCAGAACGAGGAGCTGGGCCTCAACGACATGAAAACCGAGGGCTACGAGGCGCAGCCGGCCTCGGGGCGGTAGCGGGGCCCCCGCAGGCCCGCAGCCGCTGCCCAGCGGCTCCAGGGACCAGCGCGGCGGTGGGGCCGGGACTGTCCTGGGCCTCCGGGCCTCCTGTGGGAGGTGCCGTGGGGCAGGGGGTGTCGGCTCCCCAATAAAGGTGATGGACAACGCTGATGGTGTCGTGTCCCGTTCATAACAGCGACCGTGTGGGACTGCGCCCGCTACGCCATCCATGGATTGCCATCCGCCATGCCCACGGCCCTGCCCACTGCTCCAGCTATGGCCTCGATTGTCATTTGGCCATGTTCACAGCTCCATTTATGGCATTGGGTGTGGTTTGGCCACACCCCTATCCCCACCTTTTACTCCATTTATGGCATTTTCTGCAGTTTGGCCACACCCCTATCCTGGACCACAAATCCATTTATGGCATCAGCTGTTTGGCCGTGCCCCCATCCCCACCATTTTCTCCATTTATGGCAATTCCTGCCATTTGACCATGCACCTATTCCTGCCCTTTACTCCATTTATAGCTTGGCTGCAGTTTGGCCATGCCTGTAGCCCCGCCCTTTTTCCATGTATGGCATTTCCGCATTTGGCCACGCCCACATCCGCTCCTTTATGCATGTCCCGCCACCGCCTGGCCACGCCCACCCCAACGCCTCCAATCACGGCCGTGGCCACGCCCGCCCCGCCGCGCGCGGGCCCCGCCCCTTCCGGCGGCGCAGGCGCAGTGCGCGGGCCGCGATGGCGGCGCCGGGGGTGCCGAAGGCCGCGTACCTGCAGCGGTACCTGAGCGGCCCCGCCGAGCCCGCCCGCGCCCGCCGCCGCCGCAGGAAGATCAACCCCCGAGCCGGGTGAGTGCCGGGAGGGCGCGGGCCCCGTGCGCTGCCCGAGCGCGCTGCCCGCTCCCCTCCCCACCCTCCCTCCCAGCCCCGCGGCCGCCCTCCTCACGCCCCGTTCCGGGCGGTGCTGACGGCTTCTCCCCCCGGCAGGATGCGCATCGTGGATGACGATGTCAGCTGGAGCAGCCTCGCCCCGCAGAAGGAGGAGGAGGAGGAGGAGGAGGAAGGGGACATGCCTGTGGTGAGCGCGGGGTCCCGTCGGACGCGCCCCGCAGCCCCAGGCGGCTCTCAGGGTCTGCCTGCGGGGGGAACTCGCTCCGGCGCCTCTGCCTGCCCCGTGCTGCGCCTCGGGGACGGGTGGGAGCTCTGCAGGAGCAGCGAGCTCCCCGCGGGTGGAAGCAGCCCCTTCTCTGCGGGCCAGCACGGGGGCTGTGTGCTCCAGAGCAGCCGCTGGAGCCAGGCAGAGGGACTGGGATTGCTGCTGTAAGGAGCGAGAGTTGTGCCTTTGCTGAGCTGCTGCTCGCTGGCTGTTTGCAGGTGGCAGAGTTCATTGATGAGCGCCCCAAGGAGGTGAAGCTCATGGAGGAATTCCGAACAAACTCCAAATGGAAGCTCCTAGGAGGTGAGGGCAGCCCCTTCATCCTCTCTCCCTAATGCCTGGCTTCTGCAAACAATGCAAATTATAAATAATACTGGAGGTGCTACAGGGTTGCTGAGCTGTGCCCTAGTAACGGTGATTGCAATTGTTTTCCTTCAGATGAGGACTCACAGAGTTCGGATATTTCGGGACCTGCCAAGTCTGCTACGAGGTATGGGGACTCCAAGCAGGAATTCTGCTCTCTGCTGCTCTGCCTTTCTCTCTGGCTCTGCGCTTTCGGGTGCTTTGCTGGGAAACCTGGGCACTTCTGGATCCTTCTCCCTGCTGGATAACCCCTGCCTGGGGCGTGGCAGTGTGGGTGTTTGTGACACTGCCAGGGAGACTGGGGGGACAGTCCCTGTCCCTTTGAAGGGTGGTGCTGGTGGAGACTCCACCACTGCAGCTCTGCTGGGATGCAGGCTCTGCTGCCTCGCAGGGTTGCTGGGGTCTGCTCTGGGAGGGCTGGGCTGTAGCATCCCGAGGAATCCACCTTCATGAGCCATTCCCAGCTCCGCGCTCCCGCTTTGTCTGCAGGCAAAGCAAACACAGGGAGCTCACTGTCACTTTCTCTGCCCTCGCAGGCGGCGGCACCATGACTCCCCAGAGCCCTCGACCCCAGCAGGGAGACAGGATGGCTCCTCAGAGCTCTGTCCTGCGAGACGGCAGCGCCACGACACCCCTGACCCATCCCCTCCCAGGAGACAACGTCATGACACCCCAGATGTGTCACCCCCCAGGAGACAGCGCCATGACACCCCAGATGTGTCACCTCCCAGGAGACGGCAGCGCCACGACACCCCCGACCCATCCCCTCCTCGGAGACAACGTCACGACACCCCAGACTTGTCACCTCCCAGGCGACAACGTCACGACACCCCTGACCCATCCCCTCCCAGGAGACAGCGCCACGACACCCCTGACCCGTCCCCTCCCAGGAGACAGCGCCACGACACCCCTGACCCGTCCCCTCCCAGGCGACAACGTCACGACACACCAGATCTGTCACCTCCCCGGCGGCGGCAGCGTCACGACACCCCCGACCCCTCACCCCCCAGGAGACAACGTCACGACACCCCAGACTTGTCACCCCCCAGGAGACAGCGTCATGACACCCCTGACCCATCCCCTCCCAGGAGACAGCGTCATGACACCCCAGACCTGTCCCCTCCCCGGCGGCAGCGTCAGGATTTGTCACCTCGGAGAGAGAAGCCGGGGTCCCCGAGTGGGAAGAAGAGCCAGACGAAAGGTGAGTGTCACACACTGTGTCCCCCCCTGGGATCCACGCTGCCCAGGGGACTGCTGTGGGCTGCTGCTCTGCTGGCACAGCTGGCACAGCTGCCAGTGGCAGGGTCTGTCCCTGCGGGCACACAGCTCAGCCAGCCTGGAGTGCCTGTGCTGTGGCCTGGGCTGTGTGCCCAGCCATGCCCCAGCGCCATCCTGGGAGAATCAGCAGAGCCTCGCTGGGGTTTGTCTCCTCAGGACGGGCCTCACCCACCCACAAGGACCAGCACAGGTCACGGAGCCCCCCGGAGCTCTCCCCGCGTCGCCAGGATTCCAAGGGCTCTCCCAAGAAGGTAAATGTTGTGTCTTTCCCTTCCAGCTGTGCAACACAAATGCCTGACAAACTGGGGAGGTTCTTGGCTCTAGCAGGGCTGTCCCTGCCCAGTCCCTGGGACTGGGGTCACCCCTGGTTCTGCCTGCCCCGCTCTCAGGCAGCGTAACCCCACACAACCGTGGGGTCTGTATGCTCTGCAGGCCAGCACAATGGCGTCCGGGGGCCGAGCCGGCCTGGTGTCGGCCGATGTGCTGCAGAGGGAGAAGCAGGAGCTCCGCAAGCACGAGAGGAGCACCAAGCACCTGGAAGGTGGGAGTGTGAACACAGCCCCACAGGAGTGTTAGCTCCCCTCCTCCTCCCAGTGTCATCCCTCCTGCCACTGGGATGCTGGTGGGGAGCATCCCCATGGAGCTGCAGCTGGACATGCTGCTGGAAGCCTTGGCCAGGGTCACTGTTCACAGGGGGATTGCAGAACAGTGCCAGGGAAGTCGCAGGGAGTATGAAAAGCTCCTCTGCGAGTCTGAATGAGCTGATGGATGATGAGACCTTGGGGTCTGTGTGGGGCAGCAGGGAAATCTCAGCATGAGCCGAGATCCTGCCTGGCTTTGGGTGACAGGCTCTTTGGGAGATTAGGACAAGCAAAAGGGAAGTGACATTGAAGTCATTGAATTGTCTGGAGATGATAAAATGCTCAGAAATTGTGACCTGAGGCATCTGTCCCTGGCAGAGGAATCCCGGAACGCTCAGACCGTGTTCCGAGACAAGTCCGGCCGCAAGAGGAACCTGGCCCAGGAGCAGCTGGAGCAGAGGCTGAAGGCTGAGGCAGAGGCCAAGAGAGAAGAGCAATATGCCAAGTGGGGAAAAGGGTGAGTAAGGGACTCCTGAGCACTGTCCTCGGGCCTCCCATCTCCTGGTGTTAGTTTGGATCTGCTGCCAGACTGGTGTTGCATTTCCCTGCACTCTGAGGTCCAGCATGGGACCAGCACGTGTTGCACATGTCTGGAAACCCCTTCCCTTGCCAGAGGTGCTGTGGGAATGCTGCACAGGCAGTGGGAGTTGAGGCTGTGCCCCATCCTGCAAGCTGAGCGAGTCCCAAGGAGCGATGGCTGGGCTTTGGGTGACACAGTGTGTGTTTTCCAGGCTGGCACAGGAGAGGCAGCAGCAGCAGAACGTGGAGGATGCAGTCAAGGAGATGCAGAAGCCCTTGGCCCGTTACATTGATGACCAGGACCTGGATCGAATGCTGAGGGAGCAGGAGAGGGAAGGAGACCCCATGGCTGCTCTCATCAAGAAGAGGAAGGCCAAGGAGAACAATAAGAAAGGTTTGTGTATTTAAGGTGTCAGCAGTGCAGAAATGCAGCTGCTGTTCAGTGAACAGTCAAGGGGGACTTGTGGACTCTCTCTGGAGTTAGTGGCTTGTTACCAGTAACAGTTCCATGAGTTGTTAGCTGGGAGAGCAGGGCCTGCTGACTGAAACCTCAGCAGTTTGTCACAAAGAGCCTCTGGCAGCTGGAGCTGGCTGTCAGGAGCCTGTGCCCTCTGCCTGTGCCCACCTGCAGACACCTCCTGGGTGGGTGAGGATGTGACCACCTGGCTGTGCTGAAAACAGCTCTTATGCTCTTTGTGTTCCAGAAAAACCCAGGTACAAGGGACCAGCACCTCCACTCAACAGGTTCAACATCTGGCCTGGGCATCGCTGGGACGGTGTGGACAGGTACTTGTTCCTGTTGGAATAACAGTAAAAATAAAGGAGTTCTGCTTCAGGGAGTTCCAGTGCAAAGCTTGCCAGCAATGGGATGAGTGAGGGGGTTGGCAGCTGGAAGATTGAGTTCAGTTACAAATGGGTGATGGGGCAGGTGGGACAAGGGAGCTGAGGAGCTTCAGCAGCATCAGCTCTTGGTAACCACAGGTGCAGGTGGAAACTGAGCCAGAGTAAATGAGTGGGAAAGTTGCAGTGCTCAGAAGAGCTCGTGCCCAGCAGCTGCTGCCACCTGGGTGTCCCTTTGCAGGTCCAACGGGTTCGAGCAGCAGCGCTTCGCCCGCATTGCCAACAAGAAGGCCGTGCAGGAGCTCGCCTACAAGTGGAGCGTGGAGGACATGTAGGGGAGAGCTCCTGCAGTGCCCCACGGGCAGCACCCACTGCCAGAGCCCTGAGGAGTGCCCTGCCCTCCCTGGAGCAAGCCCTGTGCTCGGCATTCAGCCCACTGCACCATCTTCCCAGAGGCAAGGCTGGCTTTCCTGGCAGCCAGAGCCTCCGGCTCTCTGGGGAGGACACTGGTTTCTTGTTTGTTTTCTAACAAACTTCTGTTCTATGCCAAATGCTTTGACCTCTGAGGGCAGTTCCCAAGTCTTCAGGTGTCCTAAATCTCAGGTGAAAATCTGCTGAACGCTTGGGCTTGGGAGAGCCACCCTCATGCAGTTGGTCAGTCTGCTCCAGACCTCAGGTTAAGTGGAACTTCTCAACTTCTGTCAAGTTGATGCAGTTATTTTGCCATGTAGATCCCAGAGTCACCAGCGTACAGGAAAGTTCAAACTCGGCTTCTCCTGACCCTGTCCAAACAGGAAACTGAGCAGGGAACGCTCTGGCACTGCAGTGCTGCATTGGTTCAGGAGCCTCAGCAATTCTTCAGGGCTCTGTTTCTAGTGGAAGTAAATGTGTGGAAAATTAGGACTTGAGACCTGGAATTGCTTCCCTCCTAGTTTGCCCCCCAGACCCCTCTGGATTTGGGGCTGATCTCAGCTCTTGACTCGCTCCACTGGGAGGTCTAACAACCCTTCTCCTGTGGTCAGATTTGTCAGTCTCAGAGCTGGGGGCCGGGCAGAGCTTCCCTTAATCCCTGTGTGCCAGAAAGCACTTGTGGAAATAAATGCAGTTGTTCTTGCTGAGGTGCCGGGGAGCAGCGATGAAATGCAGGCAGCAGTTTCCATGGAGATGCCTTGGCTGCAGCAGTGGGCAGAGGCAGGGCAGGATCACTCTTTTCAGGGATTCTCCAGCGCTGGGAGGGCCATGGGTGGGAGGGACAGCAGCACAGTCTGCTCTGGAGTGCCAGACTCTTGGGACTTCCCTGGTTTTCATCCCTCTGTCACATTTGCAGCAGCCCTGGAATTGGTGTGTTCACCTGTAAATAAAACCTCTCTTTTTTTACTCGATTCCGTGGTGGTTTTTCTAAGGCAGCTGAACCATTCCCAGCCCTGTGGCACCTGCTGGGCAGGGAGATGGTTTGGGAGCAAGGGGTGGTGGTGTGAGGTGGCAACACATTTCCAGGCAGCTGCTTCCAGTTGTGCTCCCCCCTTCTGTCACCAAGGCCCCGTTTCATTTCCCCTGTAACCTGAGGCAGCTGCAGCCTCCACAAGTGCAGTTCCACTTGACACATTCGTTTTTGCTCTCACTTAATCTGAGTGCTGCTGGAGACGGAGAGAACCTGCTGTGGAATGATTGGATTCGCCCTCGTGAGCAGAGCTGGCTGCTGGTACCTCCCTCACCTGCTTGGTGACAGTGGCTGCTCTTGCAGAGCCACAGATGCCAGCAGCTGGCTCGTGTCACTCTTGGGACTGCGAGCTGCTCTTCAGGAGGCAAAGCACTTTTAAATGCTGGTACTAAACAAAATGTGCTTAGTGCCTGAAAATGGCATCAGGTTCTGCTCTTGCAGCTGGTTTTGAAGGCTCGGTTTTTAAAATTTTAGAGGTACTACCCTGGGGATCCCCTCGTTCATCACAATGCTGGATTTATGCATCTGTTACGTGTCTGCTACCAGATCCTTTATTTTTAAGGGAGATCTGTGAGAAAAGGGGGCTCATGTGGTGATCAGCTCCCTCCCTGATCCCATCCCCATGTGCTGCCTGGGGAGAAGGGGGCTGGCTTTGTCCCTGTGCCCTTGTTCTGCATCCCACATCTCCTGTCCCAGCCGTGGCCCTGTCTGAGCAGCTCTGGCAGCAAAGCAATTGCAAAACGCTGTGGGATGCTCTGGGATGAGCTGGGTGATGGAGATGGAGCAGTGACACCGGGGCTGGATCTCTTCATTAGCGGCTCTGGAAGGGCACAGCCCTGGTCTTGGCATCGAGCAGCAGCTTTGATTAGCTTCAACCCAAAAAAATGAATATTAAAATCTTAATTTAATTTAAACCACTGTCATTCACAGTCATGGCAAACAGCAAGCAGAGTAATTATTATGCAAATGAGACAGATAGAAAAATGATTAATAATTGCGCAAATTAAAAATTATTGTAAACATCCTGTGACTGGTGATAAGTCAGGGAGGAGCGTGTGGGGGAGGCAGCGGGGCTCAGCCACCTCCTGCATCCCAATTTCCTCATCGGTGGGAGCAGCAAACGGAGCCCAGGGGTGCTTGGGGAGGCCGGGCCAGGCTGGGAATCTGCTCCAGCTTGTCCTTACTGTGGGAAAAGCTGCGTTTGAGCCGTTTCCCCCTTGCTGGAGTCCCTGTGCTGCTGCCACTGCCCGCGTGTCCCTCCAGAGGTGCCAGGGGATGCCAGCAGGGCTCCCCAGCTGCCAGTGACCCTGCAGCTCCCCCCAGCAGCTACCAGCTGATTTGTCTGTGCTTCCCTGCTAATTGCACGTATTTTTCCCCGTTTTCCTTTTCTGCTTTTTCCAGGGAGCAGGATAATTCCAGTCCCAGGCTCTCGCTGGCTTCTGGGCTTCCGCAGGCACCGCTCGTGTCAAGGACGAGCAATTAAGCCTGGCCTCGCACAGCGTAATTAGATTTTTGTTGATGAGCTCGTGCTAATGTGTTTAGTTTAGATTAAGAGCTTAATTCCTGGGGTGTGACACCGCCTGTGCCCGGGAGCCCTGTGCCCACGGGAGTGGGGCTGGCCCGGGGAGGGGACCCTCGGCCACCACCCCTGCCTGTCCCCACCGTGTCACCTGTCCCCACCAAGCTGGATGTGGCTTCTCCCCCCAGCTGCCTCTCGGCTGTTGTTTTTTTAACAGCTCCAGCAAAGTGGGTTTTGGCAGTGTTGTGTTATTGCTCCGTTTCCTGCTGAGTTCTATTATTTTTTAATTAAAAAGAGCCTGAGATTTGTCATGTAATGTCTCTCTAACCGGCGGCAGCTCCAGGTCCTGAGTGCTCGGCAGAGCTGGCGGCTCCCTGAATCATCCCGGGCGTGCAGCACGGGGCACCCGGGCGTGGGGGCACAGCGGGGTCCCCCCGGGCACAGACACCCCCACTGCCTCCTGGGGAAGCAGTTTTCCCTGGCGACTCCATCCCACAGCGGGGCTGGGAGTGAGAATCCCTGAGACTGGCAGGTTAGTGATTGTATATGCATATGTGCACTTTCCCTAATTATGGAATAATTAGGGACACGCAGAGATAAAAATTACTAATAATATTTACTCTAGACTCTATTTTTTTTTTCAATAACCTCTCTCTCTCTTCCTCCTTCACCGAGTCTTGGTGGAAATAACTTTGCAGATCCCAGCTAATGAATATTTGTAAATGCAAGAGCATTCGGCGCCGGAATATCCAGAGGGCATCCTCTCTCTGCCTTGTAATTTTTTTTCCACCAGATATTTAATATTTATGGTTCCACAGCCTCGTGAATAAAGAGCCACACGCAAACCCCCAGGAGCTCGAGGGCCGGGATATTTATGGCGCTTCCTCTTTTCCTTTTCAATTACAAAGACACCTCACATAATTAAGTGCTAATAACCTTGTTAATCTAAAATTGATACTCTTTCTCCTGGCTATCTCTTAATAGAATTAAAAACAGATTAATAATCAAGGGTAGGAGAAGTTGCACGGGATTCAGGGAGAGGGGGCCACGCTCCGGCCCCATCCCGGAGCTCCCGGAGCCAGGTTGGGATGGGCAGGAAAGGGGCTGGCAGGGAGGTTTGTTTTCTTTCCCCCGTGCTCTTTACACAGCTTAAATTTTTAAGACAAACAGCCATGTAACACCGTCTCCTAATGAAACTGTTTTATGTTAATTAATTATGTATCAAGGCTCATTTTCATGCACGGCCCGGCTCCGCTTCCCCTCCGCCGAGCCTTTGATCTGTCAGAGGCTAAACGGGAGATAAATAATCAAATGGAGAAGCAGCCTGGATGGAAACAAACACGGTTCAGATGCGTTATCTGGCGGCCAGAGCAAGGCCCTGGATAATGGGGCTCACACTCGGCTGCTCACCTGCAGTGTGGAAGCGTCCCGTGCCTCAGTTTCCCTGCAGCCTGCCCTGGGGACAGCGCCACGTCCCCGTCACAGCATGGGGTCTCTGCAAGTCCTCCCTAGGAGCAGGAGGCTCCAGAGGACCCTCAGTGCACTGAACTGATTAAGGAATTAAAACTCTGCAGCATTTCTTCCCTCCAGCCCATGCAAGATTCCGGCAGCTCCAGTTCACACCCCCCGTGCCTGGGGTAGTTGGGATGCTGGCAGTGGGCACGGTTCAGCACAGTTTAACACAATCTCTCCCGGTTTGTTACACCTAAGGGGGGGTAGATGTGCATCCATATTCATCTTGGAGGAACTTCAGGAATTATAACTTCATCAGCCAAGGCCGCCCGATGCCGCAGCTCCCGTGGGGCACAAGGGGAGGGTGGCAGTGCCCGGAGCCTGTGCAACAGGGATTGCAGGGCTGGCAGGAGCGATGCCCACGGGCTCAGCTGCTCCAGGGTGCCCGTGGCCACATCCCTGGTGACCTTGGCTGCTCCAGGGTGCCCGTGGCCACATCCCTGGTGACCTCTGGGGCTGTGGCAGTGCCGGCTCAGGGCAGGACCCTCTGCCTGTGGGCAGCTCCGGCTGGTGCCCTGCTGTAAATCAGGTGTTGCTCCACCAGTAAGCACCCTACAGCAGGAATTCCAGGTTATAACTGTGGAGTGCTTTAATAACCCAGCAGTGCTCTGGCCTGTGTGCAATTAGCAGCTAAAGGATTCCTTCCAAAAGGGCTGAAGGCAGAGGGGGCCCAGCTCCACCCAGCTCCCCGAGGGACCCCCTTGGATGAGGACACTGCTGGGGGATCCCACTGCAGCAGGAATTGGAGCTCCTGGCTGCAGCTCACACTGCAGCCCTCCTCATCCTCCTCATCCTCCTCATCCTCCAGCAGCTCCTGGCCCCGGCTGCGCTCCCGCCGGGCTCCCAGCGAGTTTTATGCCTGGAGGTTGTTCAGTTAGAGGATTAGGAGGGAGTTTGCTGTGCTGCAGCAGCTCTCCGGGGTGTGTGCATGCTGATGGGGCTGCCTTCTCTCCTGCAGCTGTGTCAGACCTTGGCCAAGCCCAGCCCTGCTCCACAGCATGAGGTGCCAGCCTGGAGGGGAGCCCCGTTGCGGGCAGAGGATGTGGGAACTCTGCATCCCTTCTGAGCAGGTGGAAGGGATGGAAGGGATGCAGGGGTGTGCCTGTGCCCTGACCTGTGCCCCTCACCTGTGCCCCTCACCTGTGCCCCTCACCTGTGCCCCTCACCTGTGCCGTGGGTGGCTCCCTTGGCACATCCCTGCCGGACCAGCACTGTGCACTCGGGTGGCTGTGCCAGGGTGAGCCCAGCCCCAGGTGCCCAGGGTGCCCAGGCAGGGCTCTGGGCACAGCCACCAGCCCCGGGCAGTCCGGCCGTGCTGCCGCAGCTCCGGGCAGGAGCAATCAAAGGCAGCTCGGAGAGCCTCGTCCCCTCCAGCGCTGCCCCGGGCCCTCCTTTGGGCTTCTGAAGGCTCGGCTCCAGCGTGTCAGCTCTCATTAATCCACACATCAAAGCCGGAGCTGCCGAACATCCTGGGGAGGCTGTGGGGATTCCTCAGTTCCTCAGCAGCGGCGTGCAGGGGGCTCGGGGCGGCTGCCCAGGGCACAGAAGGGTCCCCAGGGCAGACGGGGGCCCTGACCCTCGGAGCCCCGAGGGAGCTGCCTGGGCTGCCCAGGGAAGGTGTGGGATGTCCCCGAGCAGGGATGTGGAAGAACAGGACGTGGTGCCCTGGTCTGCTTGCCAACGTGGCGATCGCTCAGAGGTTGGGCTTGATGACCTCGGAGGTCTTTCCCAGCCTGAATGATTCTGTGGTTCTGCGGAGGAAAGGCCCTCCTGCAGCAACATCCCGCACGTGTCACACGTGTGCAAGCAAGGAAAAGAGATTTAGCAGGAAAACACACACAAAAACCAAGCAGGGAAGGTGCTGCTGCGCTCTGTAGAGTGCAGTTTGCCTGCCAAGGTCCTCTCCGTGC